AGTCTAATATAGTCAAATAGTCTGTAAGTAAGCCAGTGTCATCTTCATTTCTCTTTTTATTTCCAATGATTTTGCTAATGAGAGGGAGAGGACAAAAATAGATCTAGACTTTCCTTTCTAAAGCGTCGTAAAAGATTATTTCGAACAATTTTTCATTCCGACGGATGATTTGTCTGAAGGTTAATTTTGTGCGGCAACAACATCATGAGATCTGATACTGATACATACATATGATCTCTTGTATTACCGGATAATAAAGTAGGTGAATATAGTTGTTATTCTTGATTCTTGAAAATTTAAATGTGGGTTTCAAACGTCCAATTTGCATTTTTTTTCAAACAGTACGCCAGCAATGAAAACTTGTACTATGACGTCAGATTCAATGTTCTGAAGAAAGACAACTCTTTTCTTCAAAACGAACGAGAAAAAAACATGAAAATTCATCATAACTTTTTTGAAAGGTCGGTGACATATACATTTTTTTGCTTTATTTTGAAGAGTACACATGGCACTTTCCTTCTTGAAATTTTTATGAAAAAATCACTGGTAGATATTTTTTAATACTTGAAACGTTTTTCATTCTTGCGTTTTATTTTTGGCGGGAATGAAATAAATCATATTTTTTAAGATCAAAACAATAAGAGTCTTAAACTCTTGAACTTGTATTTGATAGACACAAATCTACTGTTTAACGTGAAACAAGAATTATGCTTGTAGGTTTGATATAATGGGATTTTTTGAGAGTTTAAATAACAAGCAAATATCATGTTAATATTCGGGAAAACACGAAACTGAGGTTGCTATAGTGACAAAACTAAGTAGGTGACCCCCAATTTTTTTTATCATATTTTGTTCCTCAAATCATGAAATACCTTCACACAAAATTTTAAGGAAAAATCACTGGTAGAACTGAATAGGCTGTTTGGTCTTTAAATACTTTTCTTACGTTTGAAATACTAATTTTCACTCTCATTATTTAACTTTGATTGTATAAAACCGTTGAGTCAAATTTAGACTTATACTGTTACCAACTGTACCTTCAGCCATCATTGTGAAATGTCTATTAAATGTATTTGGTATATCAACATCCCTTTCAATAACACTGTTTTTTTTATATTCTAATTTAAAAGTGTTACACTATATTATTACGGTGAATTTTTTCGGGTTCAAAATTTTAACATGCATCCCAAATTTATTTTCTATCTTAAATTTACAATTTGAAATAGAATGTTTAAAATATATTTCCTGTGTTGGCTAATCTAAATATTAATTTTTGTAACGCCATATTCTATAATTATAGATATCTCCAATTCTATGCATGAAAATAATCTCTTGGTATCAAGCACTATTTATATCTGACGTCCGTGAGTGTTCTTCATCCTTTTATTTTTTCATCCGGAGCATGTGTGTTAAAAAAAAGCTTTTAAAGATGTCAAGCGCGGCTGCTTCTTCAACATTATCCAGAGAAACAATGCCTGAGATGAAAAGGAGTATTTGCAATAAATTTATCTTTAATAATCCAGAGATTTCGTTCCCTATTATAATTTTCTTCATAGACGGTTGCTGCTTACAATGAAGCTATTGAACCAAGGGTTCCTAATGGCAAAGTTTAACTCGTTCGTTCGAAAATTTTACAGGCGCCATCATGAGTTGGTTGGCCATCATTGAAAATCTGTGTCCCAGATGACCATGGATATGTTCCAACTGTCGTTACCATTTTTTTCATTCTCTTTTCTTCGATTGTGACATTACCGAATGAGAATACAAACAAAATTTCTCCATACCATGATCAACACGACTGGTGCCACATGGGAAGAAGATTCTGCTTACCCTTCCGGAGATCACCCCGGGAGTTTTTTTTGGGGATATGTGTTGCTCAGGCTTTAGTTTTTAAGTAGTGTTTTGTAATCAATCATGTTTGTCTTTTGGTCTTTTTCAATTTTAATCATGATTTTGTCAGTCTCTATTAGACTTATGAGTTTCGATTCTCTAATTAGTATCTTCTTTTTCTTTTTAATCGTTATTTATTCCATCTTTTTGGAATCAACATGGTACTTGAAGTAAAATGTGATTAATTTCAATGAAAAAATATCAAGTATATAGGGTCAAAGTTTAAATGATCATATTTAGTGATTCAATACATGACAGAATGCTAGATTAACTGTATACCGCCACTTGGATTGTAAAATAGAAGTCAAACAATCGGTCTAGTTCTTTGCTTAAATCTGCAAATATTTAGACAGATTGACAATCAATGTGTAAGACTGTTAGTATAAATAAAGACAAATAAGTAATTTATTGAACTATTTATACTGTTTTAAAATACAATTTTTTTTTTGATCGATGCAATTTTTCAAAGCCATATAAGGGGAGATAACTCTTATAGCGACATTTTTATACTGGAATGATAGTGAAATTTTCATTTTTTTACTTGTAGCAAGAAAATAAGTTCGGTGACCCCATCTTTTCTTTTTATTTTCTTAAAGCAAATTATAAAACCTATCTTTTCATATTTCATTTCAAAATTGTATCTCATAGATTTCTTTTTATTCGCAAAAAAAGTGTTTTTTCATGACTACTCTATGCAAAATTGGGCAATTTTGGACGACTTGTAGCTTGAAAAATAGCACGGTGACCCACACTTTTGGTTATATTTAAAAAAAAAAGTATGGCAAAGTATTCATTTTGGCAAAGTATAAGAAAATTCTATCTGAGGAAATATATAGTGATGATCACCCTTAACATCTACAAAAAGAATACTAGAAAAAAATATGAAGATATATAGATCCTATATCATGGTTATCCTCTTCGCCCTGTAAATCATCTATGATTTTATAAGAGCAGTATATGGCAATAATGTCCAGATCGAAAACCTGATTGATTTTTGTAAATTTGATTATATGTAAGAAGATGTTCATACAACTTAGAATGCACTGTGCCACACCTAAAAAAAAAATGATGATAAGGAAAAAGTACTTATATTGGTCTAGTTATAGTTCTCATGCCTACAACATCTCCTGTTCACCTGGGACTATAATATTAACTAATTACTATAATACCGGTAGTCCCAGTGTTCATCCACGGTTTTTGACGGGGTTCGTGCTTTATTTCAAATTTTCTGTGTCATGCCAGTTTCGTTGACTGCATGTTATTGTCTGTTAGTCTTTTTTTCTTGTGGCCATGGTGTTTTTTGTCGATGTTTTCGATTTTTGGTGTTTGTTTGCCCATTTTGTATATTCTCCACTTTTATAAACAGGGGTAACTCTGATGCATTCGATCTCATAAGATCTCATAAGGAAAGACTAATTTTTAAATGGAATTTTCTGCTTGTCATTAAAGAATATTTGGACTCTTTAAGGCATATTGATTTGTTGACGTTTACTCGTTTTTAAATAGTAGTTAATTATAAACGAATGAGTAATAGTCAGTACACCGAGACTGAAATAAAATTCAGTTTCGTCAACTTTGTTATCTACAACGTGAACAATATTTTGTCACAAATTCTCCTGATATGTTAAGAATTTAATTACTGTTATTTTTTTTCATTCTTGGTAATAGCAACCGAAGAAAGGATGGTACTAATTAACCCACATATTTCTGCAATAAAAGCTGTGATTCAAGTACAATGTGCAGTTCATTTCAAAGGGCCCAACCATCACTATTTGTCACGTTTATTTTTATGGCAGTGGCTATTTTGCCGGCACCGGCAAAATAGAAAATATGCTATTCTGCCGGCTCTGATTAAAATGTCTTAATTTGAGCCAGTAAAACAGCATATTTCTGTAGCAATGGCTATTTTGTCGGCTCTAGGTAAGCGGAAGCCATTTTTGCCATTTTTGCTAGTAAAAAGATTGTGTTTACAGTATGTAATTCAAAGAACTGACTATTATTTCAAAAGGAAATGTTATTAAACATTTTTGGTTTTGAAGCGATGTGATGTATTTTTTTTTACACCATACAGTTCAAAATCTGAGATTTTATTCTAATGTAATATAAGACTGTGAGTGATTAAATTTGAAGTAATTCTAACTACATGTTTCGATATGATTTCATTGCCGCGAGTACAAATGGATGCTCAATATTTTTATTTTTATGTTTTTGTTTTACAAATTCCTATTTTCACTTGGACTCATGTTTATAAACGATTATGTGTATCTCAAATATTGTTACTGCTATCTTATTCTACTATATGGGTAATAATTTGATTCTTTGAAATTGGCAATGCACATATTCGTAGTACTTTTCAAAAGTAAATATTAAAATTGACTTTTTACAAAGAACCGGCAAAATAACAAATTCGATCACTATATTGCCGGTACTGGAAACATAGCCTTTGCTATACAAATATGCTATTTTGCCGGCTAAAATTAAGATATTTTAATCAAAGCCGACAAAATAGCATATTTTCTATTTTGCTGGTGCCGGCAAAATAGCCACTGCAATAAAAATAAACGTGACAAATAGTGATGGTTGGGCCCTTTGAAATGAACTGAACATTGAACTTGAATCACAGCTTTTATTAAAGAAATATGTGGGTTACTCATTAATTAATATCATCCTTTCTTCGGTTGCTATCACCAAGAAAGAAAAAAAAACTGTAATTAAATTTCTTCACATATCAGGAGAATTTGTGACAAAATATTGTACACGTTGTAGATAACAAAGTTGCCGGCAAAATAGCCACTGCCTTATTTTATATGTGATTTGATAACATATTTTGATTTTTTGACAATTATAAGTGTTTTTGATTAAAATTTAGATATTTTACTTTCAAGCCAAACCTGTATAAAGATTTGAAACCCCAACAAAAACATCCCCTGGCCTCCCCCCCCCCCCCCCCAAAAAAAACCCAAACAAAAAACATATAAAAGCAACAACAAAAAAACTAACAAAAAAGACGTAATGACATCCCAATCATATCCGTAATTTGTTTTGTAGTTTAGCCACAGCTGTTTCGGAATACTTCGAAAGATACGTTCCAATCAATGATAAAGTCAATCATAATATTATTCCGAACATATCTTCACGTGAGAGGAATATGTTTCGAAGAATTTCTTAACCTCTAACATTTGATTTTCATGTAATTAACCTACTTGAATTGGACATTTTTCTCCAGAAGACTTTTTATTTCTTTGAAATCCGCGGAACTGTGTTAGTGTATAGCCCAGGTGAGTGTCAAAGTCAATTTATCACAATTATGCCGAAGCGGATCGGAATTTGTAGTCTTCTCGACAGGGTAGTGCATATCTTTAAAAACTGCTGCAGACAAAAGATATAGCAAGGATTGGAATATAGTGGATCTGATATTAGGTTTAGTGGTTTTGGTTCTAAATTGCATAGAATCAAGGGGATAAATTGGCGGCATACCGGTCAGCTTTGCCAATTTCTAACTTTCTGATGAGTGATGTTCTCTGCCTCTGGTGGTAACATGCAAAGTTTTTGTGTCAAAGAGACAACAACCCGACCATAGAGCAGACAACAGCTGAAGGCCACCAATGGGTCTTCAATGCAGCGAGAAACTCCCCCACCCGGAGTCGTCCTTCAGCTGGCCCCATAACAAATAAGTATACTAGTTCAGTGATAATGGACGTCATACTAAACTCCAAATTATACTCAGGAAACTAAAATTAGAAATGATACAAGACTAACAAAGGCCAGAGGGACAGGCGCAAAAATGCGGCGGGGTTAAACATGTTTTTTGAGATCTCAACCCTCCCCCTATACCTCTAGCCAATGTAGAAAAAACAAACGCACAACAGTATGCACAGTAAAACTCAGTATAAGAGAAGTCTGAGTCTGATATCAGAATAGGAAACAAAAGAAAATAAACAAAAGATACACATCTTTCAACATACATTGTAGCTAAATATATTTAAATATACACAAACCGGTCACATTATATATCAACAGATGATGGACCCAGTGATAAAAGTAAAATCTATGTAAAAGGAAACATCCACGAAAAGTCAACTATAGAAATGAGTACTTAAAATTTGTTACAAGCATTTATTTCTTACAAAATGCAAGTATAGATTTACAGTCCACTGGAGTAAGCATTGACTATTGTCAAATTGTTCTTAAGATATGGAGAAATAAAACAAAACATCAGTTATTTGTTATTACGGATGTGAAGTTGAGCATGTATTCAATTTAGGTACGCTTCATTTCTGAATCTTGTGTCGTTTAAAGGTCGGTTTGAAAAACCAATTTTTCTATGATTCAGTATGGATTAAAAATTGAATTTGTGGTACTGTCATGACTACATTTATAGGAAGAAAGGATTCATTTACAAAATAAACATAGAATGGAAACTTTTGTCTGTTTCTAAAATGTTTATAGGCAAAAAAATCCATCAAAATAGGTGCAATTTGGGTATACTCACGATATAAATATTACCATGATTACAACTAGGTGAGGGAAGTACAGTATGTTTGTGTCTCGAGCAGAAATGATCATGAAACAAACATCATGAACATAAATATGTAATTCATGAATCATACAATTATATTTATTATCAAGCCAAATATATCTTTTAACAATCACTGAATAAAATATTTTTTGTCAATAATACATTATGAGTTTGTAATTATTGTAAAAATGTGCACAGAGGACTTAGTTTAGAGCAAATGTTTAACTTTTACAAATATTTTCTCCTCTGAAACTACTGGTCCAAATTTGACCAAACTTGGCCACAATCATCATTGGGGTATCTAGTTTAAAAATTGTGTCAGATGATTCCATCCGCCAATCAAGATGGCCACCATGGCTAAAAATAGAACATAGGGGTAAAATTTCTGAAACTAAAGCATTTAGAGCAAATCTGACATGGGGTAAAATTGTTCATCAGGTCAAGATCTATCTGCCAGGAAATTATCAGACAAATCAGACAACCCGTTGTTGGGTTACTGCCCTGAATTGGTAATTTTAAGGAAATTTTGCAGTTTTTATACGACCGCAAAAAAATTTTTGTGGTCGTATATTGGTATGACGTTGGCGTCGTCGTCGTCGTCCGGCGTCGTCCGAAGACACATTGGTTTTCGCACTCTTAATTTAGTTTAAGTGAATGGATCTTTATGAAATTTTACCACAAGGTTCAATACCACAAAAGGAAGGTTGGGATTGATTTTGGGGGTTATGGTAATAACAGTAAAGGAATTAGGGGCCAAAAAGGGGCCAAAAATAAGCATTTTTGTAACTTCCAGACATAACTTGTGTGTTAGTGTATGGATCTCTCTGACATTGTACCACAAGGTTCCATATCACTAAAGGAATGCTGGGATTGATTTTGGGGGTAATTGCCTCCAAATTTTAGGAATTAGGGGCCAAAAAAGGGGCAAAAAACAAGCATTTTTCTAGTTTCATGACAATAACTTGTGTGTAAGTGTATGGATCTTTCTGAAATTGTACTACAAGGTTCCATATCACAAAGGGAAAGCTGGGTTTGAGTTTGGGGGTAATTGCCCTAAACGTTTAGGAATTTGGGGCCAAAAAGGGGCCAAAAAACACATTTTTTTCTAGTTTCCAGACAATAACTTGTGGTCAAGTGTATGGATCTCTCTGAAATTGTACTGCAAGGTACCATACCACAAAGGGAAGGCTGGGATTGAGTTTGGGGGTGATGAATCATAATGGGGGTTCACAAAATTTTGGGGGGGGATTTATTTTTTTTTCCTTTTTTTTCTTTTTTTCCTTTTTTGTTTCTTTTAAAATTTTCCATTTTAAGTTGGTTATTTCTGATTTATATTTAAAATCAAATAATAATGATATGGTAGGAGATACACACCAAACAGGATGTGTAAATTATTATATAATAAGTACATGTATTGTGCAATAGCAAGAAATTTTCAATTGCACAGTATTGCACAATAGCAAGAAATCTTCAATTGCACAGTATTGCGCAATAGCAAGAAATCTTCAATTGCACAGTATTGCGCAATAGCAAGAAATATCCAATAGCACAATATTGCGCAATAGCAAGAAATTGTCAATTGTACAGTATTGCGCAATAGCAAGAAATATTTAATAGCACAGGATTGTGCAAAAGAAGATACTTCCTATAAATTGCTTATTTCTTGACCAATTTCAATGGGGTTTTATTCTTGATTTCATGGGGTTCTTTAATATGCTGAATCTAACCGTGTATTTAGTTTTTGGATTTTGGGCCCCGTTTTTAAATTGGTCCACATTGAGGTCCAAAGGGTCCAAAATTAAACTTTGTTTGATTTCATCAAAAATTGAATTATTGGGGTTCTTTGATATGCCGAATCTAACTGTGTATTTAGATTCTTAAATTTTGGTTCCGTTTTCAAATTGGTCTACATTAAGGTCCAAAGGGTCCAAAATTAAACTTAGTTTGATTTTAACAAAAATTGAATTATTAGGGTTCTTTGATATGCTGAATCTAAACATGTATTTAGATTTTTGATTATGGGCCCAGTTTTCAAGTTGGTCCAAATCGGGGTCCAAAATTAAACTTTGTTTGATTTCAACAAAAATTGAATATATGGGGTTCTTTGATATGCTGAATCTAACCATGTATTTAGATTTTTGATTTTTGGGCCCCGTTATCAACTTTGTCCACATTGAGGTCAAAAGGGTCCAAAATTAAACTTTGTTTGATTTCATCAAAAATTGAATTATTGGGGTTCTTTGATATGCCGAATCTAACCGTGTATTTAGATTCTTAATTTTTTGGTTCCGTTTTCAAATTGGTCTACATTAAGGTCCAAAGGGTCCAAAATTAAACTTAGTTTGATTTTAACAAAAATTGAATTCTTAGGGTTCTTTGATATGCTGAATCTAAACATGTATTTAGATTTTTGATTATGGGCCCAGTTTTCAAGTTGGTCCAAATCGGGGTCCAAAATTAAACTTTGTTTGATTTCAACAAAAATTGAATATATGGGGTTCTTTGATATGCTGAATCTAACCATGTATTTAGATTTTTGATTTTTGGGCCCTGTTATCAACTTTGTCCACATTGAGGTCAAAAGGGTCCAAAATTAAACTTTGTTTGATTTCATCAAAAATTGAATTCTTGGGGTTCTTTGATATGCTGAATCTAACCATGTATTTAGATTTTGGATATTGGACCATAATAGGTGAATGTCCAATTTAAAATTTTTAAGTTCTTAGACCACATTCAATCTGTGTTAGAAACCTATGCTGTGTCAAATATTTAATCACAATCCAAATCCAAAGCTGTATCAAGCTTGAATGTTGTGTCCATACTTCCCCCAACTGTTCAGGGTTCGACCTCTGCGGTCGTATCAAGCTGCGCCCTGCGGAGCATTTTATTGGTTATTGTCTCGCCTTGACGGAGTCAAAAAGTGAGACATAGGTATGCTGTTTCCGGCGGCAGCAGCGTCAACAATGTATTAGTTTGTGATTAGGTCTAGTTTGAGGTGAACCACTAGTGGTTGGTTAATGATATTCGGTATGCAGTTGTATTAGCACTGGCACATCTCATTTCAATGGAGATTATTTGGCCCTGCCCCCTCAGTCGTGGTCTATTGACTGAAACTTTTGCTTAGTTTACATGTATTAGTTTGTGATTAGGTCAGTTTATGGGGAACCACTAGTGGTAAGTCAATGATATTTGGTATGCAGTTGTATAAGCATTGGCATATCTCATTTCCATGGAGAATATTTGGTCCCGCCCCCGCAGTCATGGTCTATTGCATTGAGTGAAACTTTTGCTTAGTTTGTGATTATGTCAGTTCAAGGGGAACCATTAGTGGTAGGCCAATGTTAATTGGTATGCAATTGTATAAGCATTAGCATATCTCATTTCCATGGAGAGTATTTGGTCCCACCCCCTCAGTCATGGTCTATTGACTTTGAAACTGTTGCGAAGTTTACATGTATTAGTTTGTGATTAGATCAATTTAAGATGAACTGCTAATGTTAAGTCAATGATATTTGGTATGCAAATTTATTGGCATTTGCAACTCTTGTTTCCATGGAGATTATGTAGCCCCACCCCCTCATCATGGTTCATTGACTTTGAAACTTTTACATAGTTTACAAGTCAATGTTTGTGTTTAGGTTTGTTGAAAGGGAACGACTTATAAGTCTATGGTATTTGGTATGCAGTTGTATTAGCATTGGCACATCTCATTTCCATGGAGATTGTTTTGCCCTGTACCTTCAGTCATGGTTCATTGACTTTGAATATTTGCATAACCTACATGTTAAAGAATTGCTATTTTAATTTCAACTATTGCATTATCAAAAGTACAAAAAGGCGAGACATATCTCTGTGTTAACAGTTTATTATCTTGAATATTATTATAGATGGAGATAAACTGTAAACAGCAATAATGTTCAGAAAAGTAAGATCTACAAATAAGTCAACATGACCAAAATGGTCAATTGACCCCTTATGGAGTTATTGCCCTTTATAGTCAATTTTTAACAATTTTTTGTCAATTTTTGTAATCTTTTACCAAAATCTTCTCCTGAAACTACAGAGACAAATTTTACCAAACTTGGCCACAATCATCATTAAAGTATCTAGTTTAAAAAATGTGTCTGATGAGTGATGACCCCGCCTACCAACCAACATGGCAGACATGGCTAAAAATAGAACATAGGGGTAAAATGCAAGTATATTTTTTTTTTAACCATTATGAATAGAGAAAATCTCAAAGGAGCAAAATGTTCAGAATAATGAGCTCTACCAATTGTCCATATACGTTGAAACTGTTAGACAAATTCTTATAGGAGTTATTGCCCATAAATGACAAATTTTACCATTTTTTTTCATTTTTGCGTATTATCATGAAAACTATGATATTTTAATAGAGAGAAACCTTTTTTTTTCCGTTATGCCTTATATGATTTAAATTATAATAGATAAATAAACGCTTTTAATCACAAAAATGATCAGCAAGGCAAGATCTATTAAAAAGTCAAATTTTGCCGATATAGTTAGTAGACTGTCACTCTTCATAGGAGTGATTACCCTTAAATGAGGATTTTTTTTACCCTCTTTTGTGTTTTGAGCAAAAACTAAAGAAGATAGAGAGAAACTAAACAGACTAAAAGATCAGTAATACAAGATCAACAAGATAGAGATTTTTGTCATGAAGTCTATTCTCGTCTACAATGTTGGAGCATGTCCATTGTTTGATATGCACATAGACCAAGGTGAGCGACACAGGCTCTTTAGAGCCTCTAGTTTATATTACAAATACATTGTGTAAGGGTTATTACAACTTATATCAACAAAAGAGAAAAGGAGATAACAGAAAAATATTCTTTTAATAAGTAACAAATAATTCCTGATATTGTCGTAATAATTTTCATTACAGATCGTTAGAAATTTTTTTTTTACTTTTTCAGTTGAGTGAACCATGGCAGAGTTTTGGTTGGTATCAGCCCCTGGAGATAAAACATGTCAACAAACTTTTGACAAATTATGCATGGCAACAGCTAATCAGAATATGCTATCTACAAACTATAAATTTGCTATTCCTGATCTAAAGGTATAATATTATAAATTGCATTAAATAAATGTACATTTGTAGGGACAACTCGCTGTATTTTTAATCCTTCAGTGTTCTCAGGACAGTGGGAGGTGTTTGGTTGACTGCATGGCTGTATTACATGTACACCAATGAGTTATCTCCCTGCAAAATACATTATACATATCTGCATGGTCAGTTAAAGGAAAGAGCAAAGACTGATCTGATTTGTTACCTTGTGACCTACCTTGTGGCATAATAACCTAGTTAGTTAGTCTAGTAAAAAGCGGGTTATATAAGGTTATGTGGTTTTTGATACTCTCAAATGTTTTGCATGGCATGTATTTGAATTTCCAAATTTTTAATTTCCAATGTTCCAGATTTCAGTTACTCCTGAAATATGTGTCATATGAAAATAAGAAGATTGGGTATGATTGCCAATGAGAGAACGCTCCACAAGAGACCAAATGACATAGAGGTTAACAAGTAATAACAACTATGCAGTTGTGGGTCACCGTACGGCCAACAACAATGAGAAAAAACCCATACCGCATAGTAAGCTATAAAGGTGTCATGCACACTGAGATTAGTATTATACAATTATATCAGTATAAGCAATACCCTTGAGTCTTATAGATATACTCAAAGCTCTGAAAACAACACTTATAAGAAAGCCAATTACATTGTTTTCTATTCTAAATGCTAAGTAGAAAATATTAATACATAGATTAAAAGTCATTGTTGCATGTACATGATATACATTGTAATTATATTCAGCAGTTTGAAAAAGTGTCACTTATTCTAAATGGTTGACACTTTCCATATACATATAATCCTTTCATCATAAATATTTAATCTCTTTGAATTTTTTAATAATTTTATTTAATTTGTTGTCAACTCAAATTTATTCTTTTTAATAGTTTTTTTTCTCAACAGGTTGGTACTTTAGACATATTAGTTGGTTTATCAGATGACCTTGGAAAGTTGGATGCCTACTGTGAAAGGTGATTTTTTTTTATTAAACATTGTATTGACACCTTCAGCATGCTCTGTACTTTTCACTATTATAACTTCCATTCATCAATGTTAGAATTAAACTGCTGGTGTACTGTTAATCCTGAAGTGTTATTTACTGTGTTCTTATTATATATTTATATACTATATTCAATCTAGGTGATGATAAATTTTCCAAGGTAGCGTTTCAGTACCTTATAAACATAGGTGTAAGACTTTCAAATTTAAAAACAAAAAGATCTCCCTCTTAGGAAAATTTAAATTGGGAGATTGTCTTTGGATCCTATTTCATATTTTTATCAATTATAAATTTATATTCGAAGCCATTCAGTAATTAATATATAAGAATTTTTTAATCAGCATTGATTTGATTGAAATAATCTATTGATTACACACAAAAAAAAACTCTGTATAGTGTAATAAGGCAAATGTTTGAACAGTGATTTGTCAATTTTTACAGGAAAAACAACTTTTTAAAGATATATTTTACAAAGTGGTAAATTTAACCTTCTTCCTAAAAAAATGGTCACCATAGAATAATTTAATTTAAAAGAAATGAACAGCGACAGATATGATAGTTGGAGTAAATACTTATAGCAAAAGACCTAAGTCTCAACACAAATATTTGTTCCTGACATGTCTCCAAACTTTGTTTTATTCGACAAAATAACAAAGCTTATATTTTGATTTTTTTATTGAAAAATTTTAAGCTAAAATTTTAACCATTTTCAGTACATGTCTTTACTGTTTGTTTTACAGTGTAACCAAGAAAATAGCACAGTATTTAGGAGAAGTATTGGAAGCACAGAGAGACAAACTTCAGGAAAATTTAGTAGCAAATGGAGGTCAGTGGCTGATGATCAATAAAGATAGCATAGCATGAACTACATGTATTCTTCTAATGATATGAAATTCAAAGCTTTCAAGAACAAAATATTTCGCAAAGTATAACATTTCAACAAATATTGATCAATAATGGGTGGTAAAGGGAGACACATGTGCATGGCATAATGTGAAATAAATGATTAATTTCACAATGAATGGAAAATAATTTTTAACCTTGAACTCTACATTTTCTATTTTCATGAAACATAGCAAATACTGATCTTTCAGCACGAAAAGTTGTAAAAAAAAAAGTGACTAACAAATTGAACAAAATGTACCCTTTACATCCTTAATAGTCATAAGTTAATACTGCTGATCGACTAAATGATCAGGTATTATGTTTATTAGTTTTACAGTGTAACTAGGAAGCTAACTACTAACCCTATATGGGATATATATCATCAGGTCATACACTCATTTTAATGATAAGCAAATAAGAAAAAAGTCATTCTTTGAATATATACAAAATGTATAATTGACTTAAGAGTTGTAAATGATTTGAAATTAACATGACTATTTCTAAGCAAGTATATTTAGTATATTTGCATGTCTTAAATTTGCCTTTAAGAGTTAAAATATTATGTTGACATTTGCATTTCTTAATTACAGTTGACCTTGTAACTTATTTGACAAGATTTCAGTGGGATCTAGCCAAATATCCCATTAAACAGTCACTAAAGAATATTGCAGAAATTATTGGAAAGGTATGTAATGAACTACATTTGCCATAGGTCATTTGTGAAGAAACCAAGCATGAATCGGTAAGGTATGTAACGATCTACATTTGCCATAGGTCACTTGTGAAGAAACCAAGCATGACTTGGTAAGGAATGTAACGAACTACCTTTGCCATAGGTCATTTGTGAAGAAAACAAGCATGACTAGGTACTAATTGGTTGCTAAGTAAAATGGTAAGACAAAAGTTAAAGTGGTTTTTTTTTAAGACCAAGGACAGAAAAAGAGCAGTGGTGAAGTTTCATTTTAGCTTGCTTGTTGAATTATTAGCTATAACCCACACTTGTACTCTTATGTTTTTGGTTTTCTGTTGACTCTGCATATTATCCTCTTTTCCTTTGAAAGTGCTCTGACAGCCATATTTGAATCAAAATTTGGCAATAATAATTATGAATGTCTTATATGAAATTATTTTTCTCACCAATCTTGCAAAAACTGATTTATATACATTAATTCAAGTTTTGAGGGACGGTTTATATATATTAAAGGGGCACTAGCTACGAGATATATAAAAAATCTAATATATGATTTTTTTTTTTGTTCAATCATTAATGAAAGTGAAATAGTGAAATAATTATTCACTTTTAGCCACCAGTATGGTTCAATTTTGTCAAAATAAGCTAAGAAACATTGATGATGAATTATTCACTTGCAAGTGAATAATTTGACCTCATTGAATCCGTATTCATGTGAACTTCAATTTAACCCCTTAGCTAGAGATGGATAACACGTGAATTGTATGTGTAAAGTTATTTAAAGGAAAAGAATGTCAACATTGAAAGTGAAACAAAGGTAAATCATTTGATACAGGTAAAAACGATGATAAACATATATTTTTAATCTATAATATGAAATCAATTAGACCTAGAAAAATCCAATAGCACGAGTTTATATCTTTATTTATGTTTACATCCCTTATATGGTCATCGAATGAATTTGGAGGTCAACTCGATAGTTAATTAGATGGCGTTGAGACTAAAATACACACGAAACGAAGCTGCGTGTTATCATGCCCATAACCTGTAAACTGTTTATTTTAGACTTTTAATATTTTGGATACATGTTTTACATTGTTATAAATCAAATATCAGAATTTGAGTCAAATCGGTGAACATGAATTTGACAGCTAATGCCCCTTTAATTCATGTTTTGGGGGACATCATTTTGGGGAAAAAGATGGCTTTTAAGAATATATTTATAGAATTTCAAGTTAACATGAAGTAAACTTACCAAACACTAAACCAAATATGATAGGAAGAAAAAAGTTACTGATTATATGATTGCTTCATGATCAAGATCTCATTTATTTAAAAAAATGAATTGACACATGTAGAATAACTTATTTTATATAAACCAAATATGCATGCAACAGTAAGAAAATGATTGCTGATTATATGATTGCTTCATGATCAAGCCTCATTTATTTAAAAAAGGAATTTACACATCTAGAATAACTTTTGTTATATATATTGACAGCAAGTGTCCCAGATAGAAACAGATCTTAGAACCAAATCCCAGGCATACAACAGTTTAAAGGGAAATCTACAGAACTTAGAAAGAAAAGCGACGTAAGTAAAACTATCTTTATATTAGGAGAGATTGTCTCTTGAAAGTATATGTATTTTGTTGTAGTAATGATGAGGCTTTTATGTGAATGTATAAGGCCAAAGCAAATCTTTTTTTTAGCCAAAATATTACATTGCTTAATCTTAACAACTGCTGATTAAATGAAGCGTAAAAAATTGTTTGTTTTCTGAATAAATCTCAATTACAAGCATATGTTTTGTACAAAAGTTAAACAAGTTATATGTGGAATTTTGGAAATGCAATTAACTATACTGAATTGAAGTAATGCTTTATACACTTTTTTTTAAAAAAAGGTCTGACACTTTCTATGGTATTGTTTCAGTGGAAGTTTACTAACCAGAAACTTGGGAGACTTGGTGAAGAAGGAGGACTTTGTACTAGACTCTGAATATTTACAGACACTATTGGTGGTAGTTCCAAAGTAAGATATTGTACAAAGCTTAAAGTATAGGTCATTCCCATAATATTTCAATGGACAATGAAATGATAGGGCACTTTAATATGAGACACTGACAGACATGGTTGTTCCGAGATCATGATATGTAAAGGATAACTTTACTATTTCATTAGAGTGAAGATAGCTGTATTTTGTTATACAGTTATGATTATGTTACCTGTATGGACAAAAATCCAAGGTTGATTGTTGTGACTTTAAGAAATTCAGCATAAAAGTAATGCTATCAAAGTTTTAAATAAATGTCAGTTTTTTTTTATTCTTGCAAAATCTATCCCATTGGTACTTTTGCAATTATGAAAACCTGTCAATAAATTCTTTATTTACTGTATATGACTAAAAATTTAATAACCAAGAAATTTATTAAAATTAATATATTATCTATTTCTTTCATCTATCTTAGAACTTGTCAAGACTATAACCCTGTTGTGAACAACATCCTTAAGAAGAATTATGTCTCAGTCATGTAACGTCATTGTTTACACAGGTTCATTGGAAAGTTTGCTTCACATTTGACTTGGTGTCAAAAATTTAATTTTTTTAGTTAGAATTGATCACAAATTAACATTAATTTTGTTGTTGGTCTGATGCTTTTAATATTTCCATAACATAACAAAAAAGAAGTTTCCTGATATCACAAAATTTAATTTCGGATTTTATCCTTTCTTGAAAAATCGCAATAATAAATGCATGCAATAATTTCTGAATTTACAGTAGAACTATATATAGACTGGAGTGGTAAAACCTTTAGAATTAGTTCATCATACATGATATAATAAGGAATATTTAGTAAACATGTCACTATTTTTTTCAGATCATTTCACCATGAATGGGCAGCTAAATATGAGCAGCTGACTGACATGGTGGTACCAAGATCATCCAGGTAAAACTACCTTTTTCCTTGCTTGGATGTTATGCACTTTTGGCTGTTGCACGCAAAATTGCTTTTCTGTATATTGTTGGCATGAAGAAATATTAACTGATCCAGAATAGTTTCCACTGACAGCAATATCCTTATTCAGTAATTATTAAATGATTAAGTAGCTAATTTTACCAAGATATAATTGTATGTGCCTGTCCCAAATGAAGGTTTTAATCAGTGGTTAAAATTTAATAAAACATCAATAACCTTATCAAATCTTTATGGCATTTTATGAAAATTAGAAACTTTTTATGATCAAAAGACACTGTCAAAAGCAAAATTTTTAAAATATTTAATTTTTTTTTTTCTTTTTTCATTTTCCTGTATTTTGTTGATAAATGTACTTTATACTTTTTGGCAGCCAACATTACCCTTTACTCTGACAGCAGCAATAGCAGTTGACACCCAGGGTTCCATGGAGACCTTTGCACATTTATATGATGTGATGTGTAGCTTCAAGAAAGACCTAAGCATATGTTCCATGTTCATTCAGTTGATATTTATTTTTTACAGGGTTCTATATGAGGATGATGAGAATTGCTTAGTATCTGTAACTTTGTTCAGAAGAGTTGTTGATGAATTCAGACACAAATGCAGAGAAAACAAGTAAATATAGACAAAATACTAAAACATTGAATCACTATTTAGAGTCCTTTTGTGAGCAATGTTTGTTTATTTGTTCTTCCCTCCATTTGCTCTTTGTATGCTCCTAAACTAGTTATTTTATATCATTGAAACTTAATAATATCTTCACTATTTGATAATACTGCGTTTTTCATATTTTAAAATTGGATTCCAGTGATTTTGGGGTTTCTCATGGCAAAAAACAATAAAATGCTCCACTTGGGCGCAGCTTGATACAACCGCAGAGGTCGAACCCTGAACAGTTGGGGCAAGTATGGACACAACATTCAAGCTTGATACAGCACTGAATTTGGATTGTAATTAAATATTTGACACAGCATAGGTTTCTGACACAGAATGAAAGTGGTCTAAGAACTTAAAAATTTTTAATTTACCTATTCAAACCATATCATTATTATTTGCTTTTATATATAAATCAGAAATAACCAATTTAAAATGGAAAATTTTAAAGAAAAAAAAAGGGAAAAAAAATCCCCCCCCCAAATTTTTTGAACCCCCTTATGATTCATCACCCCCAAACTCAATCCCAGCCTTCCCTTTGTGGTATGGTACCTTGCAGTACAATTTCAGAGAGATCCATACACTTGAACACAAGTTATTGTCTGGAAACTAGAAAAACGCTTGTGTTTTGGCCCTTTTTTGGCCCCAAATTCCTAAATGTTTAGAGCAATTACCCCCGAACTCAAACCCAGCTTTCCCTTTGTGATATGGAACCTTGTAGTACAATTTCATAAAGATCATACACTTACACACAAGTTATTGTCATGAAACTAGAAAAATGCTTGTTTTTTGCCCCTTTTTGGCCCCTTATTCCTAAAATTTGGAGGCAATTACCCTCAAAATCAATCCCAGCATTCCCTTTGTGATATGGAACCTTGTGATACAATGTCAGAGAGATCCATACACTTACACACAAGTTATTGTCATGAAACTAGAAAAATGCTTCTTTTTGGCCCCTAATTCCTAAAATTTGGAGGCAATTACCCCCAAAATCAATCCCAGCATTCCCTTTGTGACATGGAACCTTGTGGTTCAATGTCAGAGAGATCCATACACTTACACACAAGTTATGTCTGGAAGTTACAAAAATGCTTATTTTTTGCCCCTTTTTGGCCCCTAATTCCTTAACTGTTGGTACCATAACCCCCAAAATCAATCCCCACCTTCCTTTTGTGGTATTGAACCTTATGGTAAAATTTCATTGAGATCCATTCACTTAAACTAAAGTTAAAGTGCGAAAACTAATGTGTTTTCGGACGACGCCAACATCATACCAATATACGACCACAAAAATTTTTTTGTGGTCGTATATAAACCACCAAAAGACGAACAATAATCTACAAGAGACCTGGTGGAAAGGTGATATAAAACTTTAAGTTGATGGTCTTTTGCTTAGGCTAGTTTATGTTTTTTTCACAGTATCGAGGGTTAAAATTAGACATCAGATGTATTAATGGATTAAGATGGACACTTTGTAGACAGGAGTTGATGTAAGGGTACTTCAGTATGCAAATTCAACTATTATCTTAAGCATAACCTCCTTGCGTTGATTTGAAATCATGAAAATCAATCTCATTTGCTTTAAGTCTTTTCATTGATACAGAAATATTTACTTGCAGATTTAATGTTCGTGATTTTCAGTACAGTGAGACTGAAATGGCTGCTGGTAAAACTGAAATCAATAAATTAGAAGCTGATAAGAAAAAGCAATATGTAAGTTTAAAATAATGATATCATCATGCACTATAATTTGAGTATAAATTTCTGTTCTGTATTGAATACAATGAAATCATCACAATTAGCAGGAGCTTGTCCTACAAAAATTCTGTTGGAATTTTCCATTGCTCAAAAGGTACGCGTGTTTATGAAAACATTTCGATCTTCTCGGCGTTTATCCAATTAGCGTTTGTCTTGTAGTCATATTTTTTTCGAAATTGCTCGGGATTTATCATAACATACAATGAATTAAAACCAAAGTAAATATCCGATAAAAATATTGAATAGAAGCATGTTTTCAGCTTCTTTTTGATACTTTAGGGAAAGTTATTATGATGATAACAAGACCTGTTTGCGTACCTTAACGAGAACATTGCTAGAACGATAAACACGGGGTTTTGTCAAGAACGAAATCAGTTGGAAAAAGTGAAAGGCCAAATCAATTATGAAATGATATATGTAGTTGGAAAGCATCAGAAACCAAAAGTTCTAATCAGTTGGGACAACTTAACCCAGATTTATGTAAATTAAATTAAACAAAAACATTCAAGTATAATTTTAGTTTATATATTATTTTTTTCATTTTAGTTCATGAGTGAATACGCATATCCATTTTTTACGTCCATGCATTTTGACACTTTCTTTGTTTTGGTCTTATTGTTCTGTATGCTTATGATAGTTGTCTTATTGGCAAGTGCAGTTTAACATTGTCATTTATTTATTTGATGTTGCAGAATTATTTGTAAATTTAACTCTGTAAATTTAAGTTGAATGTGGTCTCCGTCATTAAACCTATAAAGCTGGTCAAGGTTTTGGGGTATATCTTAAATCTGTGAACTACTTATTATTTTTATTTAAAAGTAGATCTGGCAAATAGGTTAAAGGACTGGCAAAACTTTCTTACAGCACCTAAATTTCACATATATTACATAAAAATCTAAACACTTAGCCACGCCTACCCCAACTAAACAGTAGGGTGATCATATGGGATCTAGAAAGGTAATTAGTAACTGTCCAACTAGTGACACCAGCTGCAGTTTATATAAGTTGTGAGAAAATACAAAACTGGCAGAACGTTTAAAATCGGACACAAATTAAACGTACAATTGCTCGTCAGTGAATAAACCAAATAAAACAGCTAGCATATATACAAAGAAAGAAACACATTTAAGATGGAAAAACATCTGCATGGGGTTGATATAATGTGATTATAACATGCCTAAACATTCAATATTGTGTTGATGAAAAAACCCAATACATTAAGGAGCTTGGTGGTGAAAAACCCAATTTGATATTTGCTTGAGGGGTGAATTGGAATTGATAATGCAATTTAAAAACTTTATCACCCAATTACATAAAAAAATGGTGGGTAAAAACCCCAATTTGTGAATTCTTATCTGGAGCTCTGACGAACCCCACCAAAAACTGGGGTGATCTCAGTAACATGTCAACCTTATTTTGAACCCTAGGTAACAAACATGGTCCAGAAGGTCAATAACTTGTGCTTCCTTTGTGTTATCTTTAAAGGAATCATGGTAAAGGTCCTGTAAAGAAAATCAAGAATAAGCAAATATATCTATGATATCCCAAAGAAGTTGTTTAGTTTGTGTGTTTCTTTTAACTTTATGTAATATTTACAGAATTTAAAAACTCTGTTTATACTTTTATGAATAAGGACAATGCTATATTGATTGTAGCTTTTTATCAAGGGCTGTTCAGTTATAATGTAATAATGGAACCTTGGAAAATTGTTTTGAATATTGAGTTGAAATTTCATTTTTTTTTGCAGATTTTCAATTGTAAATAACATAAGCATTTGAAAAAAGTAATGATTTTAACTGGTTATTTTTGCAGGGACCATTGGTTAAGTGGTTGAAAGTAAACTTTGGAGAATGTTTTACTGCTTGGATACATGTCAAATCTTTAAGATTGTTTGTAGAATCGGTCTTAAGGTAATATATGATTATCTTAAAAATATAAGCAGATTGTGCATTGTCACAAAAATACAAGCAGATTGTGCATTGTCACAAAAATACAAGCAGATTGTGCATTGTCCCAAAAATACAGCAGATTGTGCATTGTCACAAAAATACAAGCAGATTGTGCAGATTGTTTTATATCAAATTCTGTTTAAAAAAAACATTCTTCCACTGCAAAACATAGATTAAAATAAAACTGATATGTTAGTGCTAATATGAAATCCAAGATGGATGTCACTGCCAAAAATAGTTAAATATTGGACCTCACAGATACATGATTACTTTTTTGAAAACCATTCCTGGTATTTAAGTAAGATGATACAATGGTTTTTCCTCAAAGATTGTATGATCATGATTTTAATCCTAGATAGTGTTTGTTCATGAAGCATGGTTTAAATAAATTTTACGATAAAATACTAGTCAGAAACCTTAATATCATCAGCATATGAGAGAACCTTCATTATGTGAAAATAAGGAATTTTCATTTCACTTAAAACATGTCTTCAAAGTGATTGATACATGCTCAGTTTTAGTTATTTCTATTACAGGACAAATACCATTCCACAATCTTACTAAGTCTAACATCTTAACGTTTCTTTAAGTGCAACTTTAACATTTTTTTTTAGTTTCTTATTATGTATCTAAGACTTGAAAAGGTTATAACTAATTAATATGTTTATTTATTATAAGATATGGTTTACCAGTGAATTTCCAAGCTATGTTATTATTACCACATAAGAAATCAGTGAGAAAGTTACGAGAAGTTTTAAATGATTTATATAGTCATCTTGATAACAGTGCAATGTCAGGGGATATGGTAAGTGAAATATTTAAAATTATCTGTTTAACTGCATTGATCTAAAGTAAATTTCCATTCAATCCTAAAAACTTACAAAAGAATGCTCAAGTGTTTGAGCTGGTCTATTCAAACTTGGATAATATATAAAATCTTTAAAAAAAAACCAACAGTACCAACAAATCTTTATTTTTCAGTGATGAAATTTTGATAATTTACTTATGTAGAAGCCAATGTATTTTTTTATGCCCCTGCCGTAGTCGACGAGGGCATTAAGTGTTACCCTTGACCATCCCATTTTCTTTTGTTTGAAGCTTGAGCGGTGGCTTCTTGTCTTCAAACACATTCTTTTTTTTTAGTAGTTAACTTGAGATTGATTTTCTTCAGAATAAAAAATAAACAAGTTTGTTGTTAACAACACATTTTGATTTGTTAACTCTGTTAACACCTATAGAAAAATGATTGCTGTTTTTTTATATACTCTGACTTCTATCCAATATAAAAAAATATATTATACCAATGCTGAATGGTTTGAAGAAGAATAATACAGAGAAATGTTGATTGTTACTATAAATACATTTTATTTCTATTTCATCATAATAGTATATTATTAGTAGTCAAGTTTTGTAAAAAGTGTGCTTGATATTTTTAAATCTGTAATGTGAAAGGGAACTAGCAAAAGCATAATCACAACTCATTTTTGGGTGAAGATTGCATGTAATGCAATCAAAACCATATGGTACTGACTTGATATTTAAATCTTCCATGGTTTATCACTACCTTTGGTGAGTATCCAGTCAATGTCAAGCAATTTGTTAATGATATGATATAATTAGACAATCAAGTTACAATATGATGTGTATTTGAATTACTGTATTTGTCAAGAAAACATTTCTTTATTGAAAATTGCATAAGTAATGCATTGCCTATGAATCTGTTATAAAAATAGAATCAACTACAATGTACACTCATGAACAAAGGAAGATAACTCCAACTCAAATTTATCATTTGCCTAGCCAAATACATTATATACAATTCAATGTTTTATTTTAAATTGCAAAATGAAAGCAATCTTTACCCTTTCAGTGCTCTCAAGCACTTTGATTTTAATAGAGCAGTATTTTATTATACTTAAGAGGAATCATTTGGTGGTATAGTTAGGCATATAACCGTAAATAACATCGGAATTTAGAATTTTTGCAAAATTTAAAAAATTTATACTTTTTTAAGATCAATTATGTAGAAAATAACTTATACTTGTTGATATTTTCAGGCTGGACATATGGACATCCCAGGACTTATGATGGGAAATGTAGACTATTATCCTTATGTATTTTACAAAATTACTACTGACCTTATAGAGAAATAGGCTAGCAGATATCAGTTTACATACAGTTTAGAACATTCCACATTATTTATGTAAATGTTGTACATTGCAATAAATTAGGAACTCCATATGTATTTAATGTTGGATATATTTAGTGGTATAATTTGCTGACATTTTATTCAAAAGGAGGAAGTTATATTATTGATAGCATAGTCGTGTACGAAAGTAGGACATGAAAGGTTAAAGTTCAAAGATTGCTGATATTTCAAATATTAATCAGATATGTGTTCTTTCATGTGATGTCATAAAGTATTGTAGCATATATTTAGTTTTCAAAAACCAAATTTTATGAATAAACCTTCAAGATATTCATTTCTGATAGGATCAGGCTAAATCATTACAGGGTCAGCTTAACCTCATGGGAATTCACCTTTCTTTATCAATCTATAGCCATCTGGGTAATATTTTTAAAAGTGCACACTAAAACGCTGAGATTGGTTAAAAACATCCTATACAATGAAAATTCAACCAATGGGTGAAGTTATCATAACTTTGGTGTAGGACCATTAATGAAATTACCCATGATCCTTTAGATTCTGAAGAGGTGAATTGTCCTAGGGAGAATTCTAATTTAAAATATTCTGCTATGTGGAAACTGCTGTTTAAATTATGCTAATCTCAACTTATGATATAATTCCAAAATGAAGGAGAAAAAAAAGATTTATAAAAATAAGAAAAAAAAAGATGATGGCACTTAAGTTGATGTAATGGAATGAATTGTTTAACAGCAATGTTGCTTTCTCATTTACTGAAAAACACGAAGAAAGATTGGAATTTTGACAGTATGTTGTTTTAATCACGACATATTTTCTACTGTAAATTTTTTGAGTTTCACAATTTAAGGAGTTTAAATAGAATATTTTAACAGTGTACAAATGTGTATATAAGATTTTTGAATAACCAAGACCATGCTAGTCAATATTGTGAGAAAAGTGTGATATGCAGATGTAGATAGGCAGTTTAAGACTGTAATTGTATAAATAAAATATTATCTATTATAACAGTTGTACATTTTTCAGCATCGACCAGTTTTTAGACAACCGCAAAAAGTATGTTGGTATGACATTGGCGTTGTCGTCGTCCAAAGACACATTGGTTTTCGCACAATAACTTTAGTTTAAGTGAATGGATCTCTATGAAATTTTACCATAAGGTTTAATACCACAAAAGGAAGGTTGGGATTGATTTTGGGGGTTATGGTACCAACAGTTAAGGAATTAGGGGCCAAAAATAAGCATTTTTCTAGTTTCCAGACAATAACTTGTGGAGTGGTGTATGGATCTCTCTGAAATTATACCACAAGTTTCCATACCACAAAGGGATGGTTAGGATTTGCTTTGGGGGGTTATGGCTCAAACCGTTTTGGAATTAAGGACAAAAAAGGGGGAAAAACAAGGGTGTCCTGGTTAATGGACAAATACTTTAGTACAAAACATAATTTAAAGCAGTGCAAGGGAGGTAATAATTACCTATGGTTAATGAACAATTAAGACAATTTAAAAGCAGTGTAAGGGAAGTAATCCAAATACAACGTTTTGATTACCTCCCTTACACTGCTTTCAAATTATGTTTAAAGAAATGCATATTTATAAAGGAAGACCAGTAAAAATATCTGCAAATGTTGCATCTTTTTTTTTTACAAAAAAATCCATATGAAAGATTTGACACCATATTTTAAATTCTATTATTAAATAGATTAAGTTAGCACTATGGTAAATTTAAATGGGTAATTATGGTTGCAAACTCCATTGGAAATTTGAATTGAGATTATGACCATATCTTGAGGGAAAGAATTTTTTTTGGGGGGGGGGGAAAAGAAATTGTGGGGGTTCAATTTTTTCTCATTTCAGATTTCAGAAGTTAAAAAGAAATTTTCTTGAAATATTTTTTTTGCAAAAAAAGTGTGTGTGTGTGTGTTTGGGGGGGGGGGGGGGGGGGTTTAATACGCAACAGCATAGTGTATTGCACAAATGCAAAAAAAAAATTGAATATAAATTCAAATCATATAACCAATTCTAAGTTATTTGACTACAGTTATTCTGTGTCAGAAACCTTTTATGTGTCAAATATTTAATTACAATCCAAATTCAGACCTGTATCAAGCATGAATATTGCGTCCATTTTTGCCCTAACTGTTCAGGGTTGGACGTCTGCGGTCGTATCCAGCTGCGCTCGGCGAAGCAATTTATTTAGAAAAGCAGTAAATAAGTAAATCCTACAACAGTCATTGTTAGACTTAAGATTTTTGTAATGCCTGCTACAAAATTTGTTAGTATGCTTGACATAGGGATGCTATTCCTGCATTAGCGTAAACTATTTATTTACTTCATACCTTGTATACAAATGCTTTATATGTTTATATGAAGTTTGAGTCTGTCATATGTTCATATTCCTTGACCTCCTTTTCTTGTTTCAAGGATTGCTTCAAAAACTTTTTTTTTATCACATTAATTTCTCACTTATTATGAGAGATAGGATAACTCATTTGGCAAATTGAATCCATGTAAGGTCTACCTGTTTTTCAGGCTGGACTCACCTGACCGTGACATTATTTTTATGGTTCATTGTTAGTAGTTTCAGAGGGTTGTTTCGCCAATACTGTAAGCAAAAGGTCAAATTATTTGGTGTTTGGAATGATTGTATTTTTGGGTGTGAATGTCCTGACATACAAGGTCAGACTGAAATCAAGGTTATAGGAATAATGTCAACAAAAAGACTTAGTTAATGCCCATAAGAAGATGATGAATGGTTGTTTAACATCCAATAGCCAATTAATGCATATTCAGGACGAGGACATGTTATAAAACATGAAACGAATATAAAGTGTGCCTTGTAAATTTTACTAGACCGACTCACTGAGCTAGATTTAAACCCTGCTAGTTCACAAGGTAACAGTCTGGAGGAAGACATTTCACCCTATCAGAACACATTATTCTGACTGAGCCAACCAGTCTTTGAATATACTTCAAAATGGATTGTTCTCGGAAGAGAAGAAGCAATTACCAATTTTCAATTCTTTAGTTTGACATATTCAGAAATCGAACCACCCACCTCCTGCATTCATGGAGACCACAAGACAGATGTTGATTCTGTTATGCCCATAAGATAGAATAAAATGCTTCGCTGGGGCGCAGCTTGATACGACCGCAGAGGTCGAACCCTGAACAGTTGGGGCAAGTATGGACACAACATTCAAGCTTGATACAGCTCTGAATTTGGATTGTTATTAAATATTTGACACAGCATAGGTTTCTGACACAGAAAGAATGTGGTCTAAGAACTTGATTTTTTTTAATTTACCTATTATGGTCTAATGTCCAAAATCAAAATACATGGTTAGATTCAGCATATCAAAGAACCCCATATATTCAATTTTTGCTAAAATCAAACAAAGTTTAATTTTGGACCCTTTGGACCTCAATGAAGACCAATTTAAAAAACAGGACCCAAATTAAAAATCTTAAAACACCGTTAGATTTGGCATATCAAAGAACCCCAATAATTCAATTTTTGATGAAATCAAACAAAGTTTAATTTTGGACCCTTTTGACCTCAAAATGAACCAATTTGATAGCGGGGCCCACAAATAAAAAATATAAATACATGGTTAGATTCGGCATATCAAAGAACCTCATATATTCAATTTTTGTTGAAATCAAACAAAGTTTAATTTTGGACCCCAATTTGGACCAACTTGAAAACTGGGCCCATAATCAAAAATCTAAATACATGTTTAGATTCAGCATATCAAAGAACCCCATATATTCAATTTTTGTTGAAATCAAACAAAGTTTAAATACTGGACCCTATCTTGGACCAACTTGAAAACTGGGCCCATAATCAAAAATCTAAACACATGTTTAGATTCAGCATATCAAAGAACCCCAAGAATTCAATTTTTGTTAAAATCAAACTAAGTTTAATTTTGGACCCTTTGGACCTTAATGTAGACCAATTTAAAAAACAGGACCCAAAATTAAAAATCTAAATACACGGTTAGATTTGGAATATCAAAGAACCCCAATAATTCAATTTTAGATGAAATCAAACAAAGTTTAATTTTGGACCCTTTTGACCTCAATATGAACCAATTTGATAACGTGGTCCACAAATAAAAAATCTAAATACATGGTTAGATTCAGCATATCAAAGAACCCCATATATTCAATTTTTGTTGAAATCAAACAAAGTTTAATTTTGGACCCCAATTTGGACCAACTTGAAAACTGGGCCAAAAATCAAAAATCTAAATACATGTTTAGATTCAGCATATCAAAGAACCTCATATATTCAATTTTTGCTAAAATCAAACAAAGTTTAATTTTGGACCCTTTGGACCTTAATGTAGACCAATTTGAAAACTGGACCGAAAATTAAAAATCTAAATACACTGTTAGATTCGGCATTACAAATAAATAAATGTGATCAAAGATTTTACAAATCTAATGCGCCATACTGTGCAATTAAAGATTACTTCTTGAAATTTTTCAATATTTGAAATTTGAAAAAAAAAAAAAATTTGAAGAATAATTCTTTTTTATTTCTGAAATCTGAAATGAGAAAAAATTGACCCCCACAATTTCTTTTTACCCCCCCCCCCCCCCTTTTTTCCCCCCAAAAAATTCTTTCCCTCAAGATATGGTCATAATCTCAATTCAAATTTCCAATGGAGTTTGCAACCATAATTACCCATTTAAATTTACCATAGTGCTAACTTAATCTATTTTATAATAGAATTTAAAATATAGTGTCAAATCTTTCATATGGATTTTTTTGTAAAAAAAAAAGATGCAACATTTGCAGATATTTTTACTGGTCTTCCTTTATAAATATGCATTTCTTTAAACATAATTTAAAAGCAGTGTAAGGGAAGTAACCAAAACGTTGTATTTGGATTACCTCCCTTACACTGTTTCAAATTATCTTTATTGTTCATTAACCATTACTTTATACATAATTTAAAAGCAGTGTAAGGGAGATAATTTCAATGATGTATTTGATTTATCTCCCTTACACTGCTTTAAATTATGTTTTGTACTAAAGTATTTGTCCATTAACCAGGACAACCTTGTTTTCCCCCTTTTTTTGCCCCTAATTCCTAAACGGTTTGAGCCATAACCCCCCAAAGCAAATCCTAACCATCCCTTTGTGGTATGGAAACTTGTAGTATAATTTCAGAGAGATCCATACACCGTTCCACAGTTATTGTCTGGAAACTAGAAAATGCTTATTTTTGGCCCCTTTTTGGCCCCTAATTCCTTAACTGTTGGTACCATAACCCCCAAAATCAATCCCAACCTTCCTTTTGTGGTATTTAACCTTATGGTCAAATTTCAAAAAGATCCATTAACTTAAACTTAAGTTAGAGTACGAAAACCAATGTGTCTTCGGACGACGACGCCAACGTCATACCAATATACGACCCACAAAATTTTTTTGCGGTAGTAAAAAAACCAACTTATTATTATTTCTCAGCATTTGAAGACTGTAATTTACTTTTGTGGCATACTTCCAACACAGTAGTATTAAGTCATTTCAATATTGTGGGACTGCAAAGGATGCTCTTCTGTGTAGTGTTACTATTTATGAATTAAAGACAAAATGGCTTAAAAAATAAACTATGTCATGACTAGGATGCTTATTTATTTTAAAGAAGGATGTGAGTTAGAGCGTAGGATAATATCAAACTATATCTGCTACTTCTTCACTAAGCAATGTAATTTAAGGGGTGAAAGCAAAAATAAGTGACATGAAATTAGATTTATATAATTATGATACTAATGTGTTCTTGTACAGATTCAATCTTAAAAACAGACGATGAAGTAAAATCAGTCACTACTTTCATAATGAAGTCTTGTTGGTTTTACAAAGCTTTGATTAGTGTTACAGTCTTCACGATTATTTTTAAAATCTACAGGCCCGGAGCTCAATTTTTGGAAAATCTTAGTTAGATTCGGTTGGCCTTTAGATATGATTTGTATAGGCCCGAGAGCAATTTTACAAGCCTGGGCTGCTGGGCCTGTGGTTCAGCGTGAAGACTGGTGTTAAGAGCACCTCGTCCTCAAGATTGTGGCCTTTGATCAAGATTTGTCCTGTTTATGGAAAATAGATTAATAAACATTGTTCAAATACATAATAGTAAACTGAAATGTCAATAAAACTTGTGTGTTTCTTAGGTTTTACATAATGGGATACATTCACTGATCCCAAGCAGTAGTCTTTGAAATTTCATTACAAAAAATTCAACAAAGTGTGAAAGAAGTGCAATAGTAAGCATGCTTGTCTTCAAAGCAAGTCAACTGTCTAATCCTGACTGGTTCCTCTATAGACTTACTATGGTATGTAATTACTGCTAATCCTGACTGGTTCCTCTATAGACTTACTATGGTATGTAATTACTGCTAATCCTGACTGGTTCCTCTATAGACTTACTAATTGGTATGTAATTACTGCTAATCCTGACTGGTTCCTCTATAGACTTACTAATTGGTATGTAATTACTGCTAATCCTGACTGGTTCCTCTATAGACTTACTAATTGGTATGTAATTACTGCTAATCCTGACTGGTTCCTCTATAGACTTACTAATTGGCATGCAATTACTGTAATTTCAAAACCATGAAAAAACCTGAAAATTACTAAAAGGCGCTATGCTATTCCTAGCCAATTATAAACTTAAAATAGTTGTGCATATACTCAATATGTAAATTGTGTCTATGGTTGGTGTTGTTGGCTGACAAAGACTGTTTTGATACAGAGAATAAATAATCAATGTAATATCCATGATTTCACACAACTTCAAATATTTGAAGAAACTACTTTCTGAATACTTTATTTTTACATTTTTCAATAAATAAACATTATATCTTTAAAGAATTCTTAATAGTACAATAATAAAATGTTTTTCATTAGCAATAAAAGTCTCACTATCAAAACAAAAAAGATACACAATGCTGCAGTCAACAAAGTTATACCCAAACACAAGATATAAATTTATTTGGTTATTACTGCAGAATAAAAATAAAATGCTCCGCTGGGGTACAGCTTGATACGACCACAGAGGTCGAACCCTGAACAGTTGGGGCAAGTATGGACACAACATTCAAGCTTGATACAGCTCTGAATTTGGATTGTTATTAAATATTTGACACAGCATAGGTTTCTGACACAGAAAGAATGTGGTCTAAGAACTTGATTTTTTTTAATTTACCTATTATGGTCTAATGTCCAAAATCAAAATACATGGTTAGATTCAGCATATCAAAGAACCCCATATATTCAATTTTTGCTAAAATCAAACAAAGTTAAATTTTGGACCCCAACTTGGACAAACTTAAAAACTAAGCCCATAATCAAAAATCTAAACACATGTTTAGATTCAGCATATCAAAAAACCCCAAGAATTCAATTTTTGCTAAAATCAAACTAAGTTTAACTTTGGACCCTTTGGACCTTAATGTAGACCAATTTAAAAAACGGGACTTAAAATTAAAAATCTAAATACACAGTTAGATTTGGAATATCAAAGAACCCCAATAATTCAATTTTTGATGAAATCAAACAAAGTTTAATTTTGGACCCTTTTGACCTCAATATGAACCAATTTGATAGCGGGGCCCACAAATAAAAAATCTAAATTCATGGTGAGATTCAGCATATCAAAGAACCCCATATATTCAATTTTTGTTGAAATCAAAAAAAGTTTAATTTTGGACCCCAACTTGGACCAACTTGAAAACTGGGCCCAAAATCAAAAATCTAAACACATGTTTAGATTCAGCATATCAAAGAACCCCAAGAATTCAATTTTTGTTAAAATCAAACTAAGTTTAATTTTGGACCCTTTGGACCTCAATGAAGACCAATTTAAAAAACGGGACCCAAATTAAAAATCTTAAAACACCGTTAGATTTGGCATATCAAAGAACCCCAATAATTCAATTTTTGATGAAATCAAACAAAGTTTAATTTTGGACCCTTTTGACCTCAAAATGAACCAATTTGATAGCGGGGCCCACAAATAAAAAATATAAATACATGGTTAGATTCGGCATATCAAAGAACCTCATATATTCAATTTTTGTTGAAATCAAACAAAGTTTAATTTTGGACCCCAATTTGGACCAACTTGAAAACTGGGCCCATAATCAAAAATCTAAATACATGTTTAGATTCAGCATATCAAAGAACCCCATATATTCAATTTTTGTTGAAATCAAACAAAGTTTAAATACTGGACCCTATCTTGGACCAACTTGAAAACTGGGCCCATAATCAAAAATCTAAACACATGTTTAGATTCAGCATATCAAAGAACCCCAAGAATTCAATTTTTGTTAAAATCAAACTAAGTTTAATTTTGGACCCTTTGGACCTTAATGTAGACCAATTTAAAAAACAGGACCCAAAATTAAAAATCTAAATACACGGTTAGATTTGGAATATCAAAGAACCCCAATAATTCAATTTTAGATGAAATCAAACAAAGTTTAATTTTGGACCCTTTTGACCTCAATATGAACCAATTTGATAACGTGGTCCACAAATAAAAAATCTAAATACATGGTTAGATTCAGCATATCAAAGAACCCCATATATTCAATTTTTGTTGAAATCAAACAAAGTTTAATTTTGGACCCCAATTTGGACCAACTTGAAAACTGGGCCAAAAATCAAAAATCTAAATACATGTTTAGATTCAGCATATCAAAGAACCTCATATATTCAATTTTTGCTAAAATCAAACAAAGTTTAATTTTGGACCCTTTGGACCTTAATGTAGACCAATTTGAAAACTGGACCGAAAATTAAAAATCTAAATACACTGTTAGATTCGGCATTACAAATAAATAAATGTGATCAAAGATTTTACAAATCTAATGCGCCATACTGTGCAATTAAAGATTACTTCTTGAAATTTTTCAATATTTGAAATTTGAAAAAAAAAAAAAATTTGAAGAATAATTCTTTTTTATTTCTGAAATCTGAAATGAGAAAAAATTGACCCCCACAATTTCTTTTTACCCCCCCCCCCCCCCCCTTTTTTCCCCCCAAAAAATTCTTTCCCTCAAGATATGGTCATAATCTCAATTCAAATTTCCAATGGAGTTTGCAACCATAATTACCCATTTAAATTTACCATAGTGCTAACTTAATCTATTTTATAATAGAATTTAAAATATAGTGTCAAATCTTTCATATGGATTTTTTTGTAAAAAAAAAAGATGCAACATTTGCAGATATTTTTACTGGTCTTCCTTTATAAATATGCATTTCTTTAAACATAATTTAAAAGCAGTGTAAGGGAAGTAACCAAAACGTTGTATTTGGATTACCTCCCTTACACTGTTTCAAATTATCTTTATTGTTCATTAACCATTACTTTATACATAATTTAAAAGCAGTGTAAGGGAGATAATTTCAATGATGTATTTGATTTATCTCCCTTACACTGCTTTAAATTATGTTTTGTACTAAAGTATTTGTCCATTAACCAGGACAACCTTGTTTTCCCCCTTTTTTTGCCCCTAATTCCTAAACGGTTTGAGCCATAACCCCCCAAAGCAAATCCTAACCATCCCTTTGTGGTATGGAAACTTGTAGTATAATTTCAGAGAGATCCATACACCGTTCCACAGTTATTGTCTGGAAACTAGAAAATGCTTATTTTTGGCCCCTTTTTGGCCCCTAATTCCTTAACTGTTGGTACCATAACCCCCAAAATCAATCCCAACCTTCCTTTTGTGGTATTTAACCTTATGGTCAAATTTCAAAAAGATCCATTAACTTAAACTTAAGTTAGAGTACGAAAACCAATGTGTCTTCGGACGACGACGCCAACGTCATACCAATATACGACCCACAAAATTTTTTTGCGGTAGTAAAAAAACCAACTTATTATTATTTCTCAGCATTTGAAGACTGTAATTTACTTTTGTGGCATACTTCCAACACAGTAGTATTAAGTCATTTCAATATTGTGGGACTGCAAAGGATGCTCTTCTGTGTAGTGTTACTATTTATGAATTAAAGACAAAATGGCTTAAAAAATAAACTATGTCATGACTAGGATGCTTATTTATTTTAAAGAAGGATGTGAGTTAGAGCGTAGGATAATATCAAACTATATCTGCTACTTCTTCACTAAGCAATGTAATTTAAGGGGTGAAAGCAAAAATAAGTGACATGAAATTAGATTTATATAATTATGATACTAATGTGTTCTTGTACAGATTCAATCTTAAAAACAGACGATGAAGTAAAATCAGTCACTACTTTCATAATGAAGTCTTGTTGGTTTTACAAAGCTTTGATTAGTGTTACAGTCTTCACGATTATTTTTAAAATCTACAGGCCCGGAGCTCAATTTTTGGAAAATCTTAGTTAGATTCGGTTGGCCTTTAGATATGATTTGTATAGGCCCGAGAGCAATTTTACAAGCCTGGGCTGCTGGGCCTGTGGTTCAGCGTGAAGACTGGTGTTAAGAGCACCTCGTCCTCAAGATTGTGGCCTTTGATCAAGATTTGTCCTGTTTATGGAAAATAGATTAATAAACATTGTTCAAATACATAATAGTAAACTGAAATGTCAATAAAACTTGTGTGTTTCTTAGGTTTTACATAATGGGATACATTCACTGATCCCAAGCAGTAGTCTTTGAAATTTCATTACAAAAAATTCAACAAAGTGTGAAAGAAGTGCAATAGTAAGCATGCTTGTCTTCAAAGCAAGTCAACTGTCTAATCCTGACTGGTTCCTCTATAGACTTACTATGGTATGTAATTACTGCTAATCCTGACTGGTTCCTCTATAGACTTACTATGGTATGTAATTACTGCTAATCCTGACTGGTTCCTCTATAGACTTACTAATTGGTATGTAATTACTGCTAATCCTGACTGGTTCCTCTATAGACTTACTAATTGGTATGTAATTACTGCTAATCCTGACTGGTTCCTCTATAGACTTACTAATTGGTATGTAATTACTGCTAATCCTGACTGGTTCCTCTATAGACTTACTAATTGGCATGCAATTACTGTAATTTCAAAACCATGAAAAAACCTGAAAATTACTAAAAGGCGCTATGCTATTCCTAGCCAATTATAAACTTAAAATAGTTGTGCATATACTCAATATGTAAATTGTGTCTATGGTTGGTGTTGTTGGCTGACAAAGACTGTTTTGATACAGAGAATAAATAATCAATGTAATATCCATGATTTCACACAACTTCAAATATTTGAAGAAACTACTTTCTGAATACTTTATTTTTACATTTTTCAATAAATAAACATTATATCTTTAAAGAATTCTTAATAGTACAATAATAAAATGTTTTTCATTAGCAATAAAAGTCTCACTATCAAAACAAAAAAGATACACAATGCTGCAGTCAACAAAGTTATACCCAAACACAAGATATAAATTTATTTGGTTATTACTGCAGAATAAAAATAAAATGCTCCGCTGGGGTACAGCTTGATACGACCACAGAGGTCGAACCCTGAACAGTTGGGGCAAGTATGGACACAACATTCAAGCTTGATACAGCACTGAATTTGGATTGTAATTAAATATTTGACACAGCATAGGTTTCTCACACAGAATGAAAGTGGTCTAAGAACTTAAAAAATTTTAATCTACCTATTCAAACCATATCATTATTATTTGCTTTTATATATAAATCAGAAATAACCAATTTAAAAAAGAAAATTTTAAAGAAAAAAAAGGAAAAAAAAATCCCACCCAATTTTTTGAACCCCCTTATGATTCATCACCCCCAAACTCAATCCCAGCTTTCCCTTTGTGGTATGGTAGCTTGCAGTACAATTTCAGAGAGATCCATACACTTGAACACAAGTTATTGTCTGGAAACTAGAAAAATGCAATTTTTTTGGCCCCTTTTTGGCCCCAAATTCCTAAACGTTTAGGGCAATTACCCCCAAACTCAAACCAAGCTTTCCCTTTGTGATATGGAACCTTGCAGTACAATTTCATAAAGATCCATACACTAACACACAAGTTATTGTCCTGAAACTAGAAAAATGCTTGTTTTTTGCCCTTTTATGGCCCCTAATTACTAAAATTTTGAGGGAATACCCCCAAAATCAATCCCAGCCTTCCCTTTGTGGTATGGTACCTTGCAGTACAATTTCAGAGAGATCCATACATTTGAACACAAGTTATTGTCTGGAAACTAGAAAAATGCTTATTTTTGGCCCCTTTTAGGCCCCTAATTCCTAAACTTTTTGGGCAATTCCCCCCAAACTCAATTCCAGCTTTCCCTTTGTGTTATGGAACCTTGTAGTACAATTTCATAAAGATCCATACACTTACACACAAGTTATTGTCATGAAACTAGAAAAATGTTTCTCTTTTGCCCCTTTTTTGTCCGTAATTTCTAAAATTTGGAGGCAATTACCCCCAAAATCAATCCCAGCATTCCCTTTGTGATATGGAACCTTGTGATACAATGTCAGAGAGATCCATACACTTACACACAAGTTATTGTCATGAAACTAGAAAAATGCTTTTTTTTGCCCCATATTCCTAAAATTTGGAGGCAATTACCCCCAAAATCAATCCCAGCATTCCCTTTGTGATATGGAACCTTGTAGTACAATGTCAGAGAGATCCATACACTTACACACAAGTTATGTCTGGAAGTTACAAAAAAAGCTTATTTTTGGCCCCTAATTCCTTAACTGTTGGTATCATAACCCCCAAAATCAATCCCCACCTTCCTTTTGTGGTATTGAACCTTATGGTAAAATTTCATTGAGATCCATTGACTTAAACTAAAGTTAGAGTGTGAAAACTAATGTGTCTTCGGACGACGACGACGCCAACGTCATACCAATATACGACCACAAAATTTTTTTTGCGGTTGTATAATGAAAGAAAAAATGGAAATAACACGTTTTTTTCTTATTTTCAAGCCACAGGGTGAACAAAGTTCTCCAATATTATTCAAAATGATAATAGAAATAATAAATAATGATAGAAATTTGAAATACAATTTATGTAAAAAAATTTGAATTTTTTGATACAGAAAAAATCTAAATATGGTCAAAATTTATACTGTTTTATTGCTACACAAAAGTATAAGTAAATCTAAATAGTACAATGTATTATCAAGTATGTTTATGGAGAGAGAACTGCAGTAAAATGTCACATGAACAAAGAGTGTATAAAAGTAATTTTAGCAGTAAATGTGTAGGTTTTGTAATAATTGATCAGATCATAAATTTTTACAAATTTGTGATTCATCTTTGTATTGCCTTTTTCAATAAGAAACTTTGGATGGAAAAACAGAAAAGCAAGCAATAATGCCTCTGATCTAAGTATACATTATTCTATATGAAATTTCCTGTGTTAAAAATATAAAGAAATCATAATGAATAAAAAATACATAAGCATTTCATAATTGTTAAAATATTATGTTTATGGAATGATACTGCACCATTTGTGATCCCCAACTTATTGTAACTGTTCTTCTATGGGAATACCATAGAACACCACTACTATAACAAGGTGAAATTGTTTTTAGATCAAATTTATCATAAACAGCATATTCAAATATACCAAAAATGAAGTACAATTAGGTCTATCGATATATATTTATAGAAATCCTATAATGTTTCATCATGTTTCCAATTTCAAACATGTTATAATAGTTTTCCTAGCCTCTACCAATTTTTCCAATATCTTTTTAACCTCCCCCTTCCTTTCTCTTCACTGGTATAGGATATAGAAACTGGAAAAATTGGTAAAAATTGCAGAAGCCAAGGAATGACTTTGCACAATTTAAAATAAATTCCCCCAAGTTTTAAGATAATATCTGACACCCCCCTTTACTTAAAATGAATGGACAGAATGCTTACTGTAAAAAGATAAATAAATATAAATATATCAAACACACTATGAAATAACTATTTACTAGCTGCATGATATTGTAAATGGACGAATTTGATATTTTAATATCACATGAAAGTTTGTATGGATTTTTACCAGTCTGAATGAAACAGTAAATACTATAGTCCATGATCAATAATGTTAAAACTGGTTGTTGACACATTTTATTACAAAAAACTCATTACAAGTGTTAGAGCCAATAGTACGTTTTGGTTTAGATGAATTTAAACTAATAAACTTTAACAAAAAATACATAGTATTTAAAATAAATTGAAATATATGGAAAACATTCTGATTAATAATGTAAGGATGAATTAAATTGACCTTGATTCAAAATATTTTCATTTCGTCAACAAAATTTTAAGTGATTTTTTCCATGTTTGAAAACTACTTCTTTTAATTCATTCAATATACGAGCTCCGTCAGATTGAAATCAACCTTATGCAAATGAATATCAATACATCTGTTATCCTATTTTCGGGTTGAAAAATCTCTATGCAAAGTCTGTAACTGTTTGATAATTGAGTTGTTATAAGAACCCTACAAAACAGACAAATATTCATCTTTCATTTTGTATTTGAATGTTCCTAAATCAATAGTCTTATACATTTACATATATGTGCACTTGCATAAGGTTGATTTCTATCTGAAGCAGTTCATTTATTATATTTCCTTGCAAGATGAAATATTCTTTACTGAATATCTTGGTATAATTTCTTTCATTAATTGATTGGTCTTTTTAAGGTCTTTTTACCTTACGTTTTTTTCAAATTATGAATTTAAAAAATTTCTGAACACATTTAATACCAAAAAGTTTAACTTGCATAAAGCTTCAGTCTAATTCTGAATCATCCCAGTCAGCTAAAGGATGATTGTTTGTTTTTGGAGGTTTAGATTCAATTACTTTACTCGGGTCCATAACACCTGTTTTAATAAAGTTTGTATCGTCCATTGATTTCATTTCCTGTAACAGTTGTGCCGAATGCTCATGTTGGACAGAATCGTATGATGGGGTGAAATCTGGATTTATGTCATTCAAATCTGTTTCCGATGATTCTTCTTCCACTGCATACTCGTTCATTTCATCTATAAGTGATGGTTTATTCTCTTCAATATCTAATGTTAATTCTTCGGCGTTTTGTGAAATTTCTTCAATAAGTGGTTTAGATGATGTTGTAATATCCTGTATCAATGGTTTAGAGGAAGATATCACTTCCTGTATGACTGGTTTTGATGACTGGTTGTCTGTTTCATCCTCTGATTCTGATTCACTGTCATCAAGAATTTCAATCCTTGGTTTGAAAGCCTGAAGGTTAATAAAAAAACTTTTCAGAAGAGCTGCAATGCAATGTTAATTTTTTTATGTGGAAAGTTTTTGTCAAAGGCAAATGCCATTGTATTTAAGTCTCTCACAAACAGGGTGAAATGTTTGAACTACTGTATTTAATTAAGAAGCAGCTAAGACTGAATTTTGACTTGCAACTGTGACCATTTTAATAATCTGACTTCAAGTTTTAAAAACATCACCAAATGATCAGTCAAAGCTCTAGTGACAATTTATTTGTAATTTAAGGTTAATCAAGGTAAAGTGTTCTTCAAGTAAATACTGTATTTATTAAGTCTATCTTGGCAAAGAACATCTTCAGAATCTGTATGAAATACTGTCCAAGGTTACAGGGAGGTCTGAGTTCTCAAAAACAAGATTTATCCTGCCACATTCTGTAGTTGCCTGTCCAAAGCCAGAAACCTGCAGTCCTGTGGTTGTTGTTGGTTGCTGTCTGCTTTTATTTTGATTAATGTAATTGATTGACATTTGGATATCCAGGGACTTTTATGTCTTACTATATGGTATGTTTTTGCTCATAGCTGTAGAAGGGTGTACACTGACCTGTAAATGCGCCCTTGTCGTTTGGTTTTTAGTGGATATTTATCTCATTGGCAAACATACCACAAGTTATTTTCACTTTTTTTGTGTGGTTGCTATCTCATTGACCTTTCCTATTTATTTACTTTTATTCATACTTATTAAAATTAACTCTACTACCAGTCATTAGGGCATAACTGACATGTAAAATAAGGATAGTTTTAGCAAACAAAATAATGTACCTTATCCTGGCTTTGTGAAATGATCTGGTCTGTAACATCTACATCTTCTAAATCTGGTAGATCCTGGAGAAATATACAATTATTTCAATTATTTTCACTTCTAAAACTGTATTTGAAAGAGCAAAAAAATAACATCATGAAGTATTGTGCAATATAAGGCACTGCATATAACACAATTACATCCTCAAATATATAAGAAATGGAACAGCAACATTATATATACATTCATGACCAGAATATAGTTAAGTTACATTTATTTTGTACCAAGTTCATTTTTACTGGTTTTACTGAAGTGTTTTCATACTTATTTAAAATAGAAATAAAATTGTTTTTCCCCGCACAGCTCATTTAAGTCAGTGTAGACAAAATACTGACGCAGGAAAGATAACATACCTCTAATTCATCATCTTCATCTTCTTTTCCTGAAATGTACAAAATTTTAAGTTTTAATGAATACTATATCAAATACCTGTTTAACATTTATTTAACATTTGGGGGGATTTATTGCTTTATTTTTAAAATTTTAAATGTTTAAACTTTATTTGATTCAATTAAAATATCAAGTTAATCTATGTTTTAAATATCACATCTTTAGTTACTTTCATCAAGATCAAGGGTCCGGAAACTGTCATATTTGCCAGTCATGACCTAAACTGAAAGCTATTTGTCCTAAACGGTAGATTGGGATTTAGGACAAAGTTTATTTTTTTACAGAAATAATTTCGGTCATTTCATTGAGATCGGGTTTCTTAATCTCCATTTTGCACTTGTTTTTGTTTTGTAATCCCTTTCCTGTAATTAAACTGCCACTCCAGTATAGTATGATAATCCTGAGTGCCCTCCTAAATAACTTTATTAATGCCTCCGGGAAATATTGGCTAATGACTGCTAATCACTTTTTACCTATGTTTTAAATTCACATCTGACATTGATCACAAGCTCAGACCTAATATCATAAAGAAATTAAAATTCCATGACAACTGTCTTCATTATTACTTACTTTTCAGCAAAGACAATCGTCAATCCTGATTTAAAAGATTAAAAACTTATTTAATTTACGTAGAAAAAAGTAATTTTTCACGAGTTACACATGTGCTTTATTTACTATGTAATATGCATGCGTGGAATTGTCTTCAGCAGATTAGACCCTAATATGCAAAATGATTTAATGCTAAACTAAACGAGTGCAACTATTATCTGTTATATTTAAACACTTTTAATGAATCCGGAATTACTCGTACTTAAGTATTTTCTCAAAACTTCTGGTTTTAATTTCGTCTTTAAAATCGAAAGAAACGTTAGTGATGTCTGATAAATTTACCATTTGGAGTCATTAAAATCATTTCAATTTTAAACTGTTGCCTTCCCAAAACTGTTCTTGAACGTTTTTAGAAAAATGGTAAAAAAATAATGAAGTAAATGCGATGAAACAGTCAATACAAGTTAGATGATATGAATCTAGTGTGATTTCAAAAATTTGGTAAAAGGGCACCAACTTTTAAGTCATCTCAAAAAGATCGAAGTTGTGTGATAAAATTTCTGGATTCTTGATCAAGATGCCAGTATTATGAATTCCAGTCAAGTCTTGTTATAATTTTTAAATTTGCCTCAGTGATAGGTAAGATTTTATCCTCAAGTGACTAAATGTGTTTTTCCTGTGCACAGCCTGTTTTCAGAAAGTATTTGTCTTACAATCATGTAATGAAGTCTGCATTGCATCTGAGACAGTTCTGCTATACATCACAGAATATGAGGTCACATACCTTTACTCAATGGCTTTACTTCAATGGTGTTCTATGCAAGATGAATGTAAGATTTCAGTTATGGTTACTTTTTGAACTCGGATCAGTCTACGGAACATTACAGTAATTTGTAATTGACTTTGAAATTTATTATACCTGTCCTGTTGACAGATTGTAATTGACTACAACAGTCAACTATATATGAAAATCCATGTAGCAAGGATCGACAGATAAACCTTGGTAAAATTTTATGTCAAGTTCATTTTTCCAATGCTTTTCTAAAATTACAGTCCTGACTTTTTTTGAAGTGTTAGTAACCCAAAATTGAGTCATCTTAAAATTTCATGTTTCATAGGCTGAAATTTCACATTCAAGTTCAAATAGTCATTAATCATCTTGTCTGGATGCATCTAGAACACTCATGACAGCATTGCTTAAAACTCGGATCACAATGACCTAGATTTCATGCTTAATTTTGTTGGCTGTTTTACATCAATTTTTTTACTTTTGATGATATCTGACCTCAATCATGAATCACATTACTTAGTACTGTACATTCAGATGTCTGTTTAAGTAGCAAATTCTGTAAAACTTTTAAATTTGCTACTATTTATTACCTTCATTTACATTTCATTTGACTAATAGTTTAGTATCTCACCTGTGTCTGTGATAAATATTCTTGTTGAGTCATCTTTTGTTATATTTTCTAAAAATAAAAAAAAGATAAATGGGACATTAGAATGGATCTTTAAAACCAGAATATAAGAAAATGCTTTATTGATCATGATTAAACTTAATATTAAAAGTCTTTTTAAAAAGAATTTTATGATCAAGGTCATACCAGGTACCACATGAGCTTAACATTTTCACTGATCCATGAATAAAAGGTGAACCCTGTTATATGGACATGTGCCTTTACTTTGATGCTATATGCCAAATATAGTTGACCATATTGCTTATAGTATCTGAGATACATACCTGATCAGGAAAACTGAATGTTCACCAATAGTGAACCATGAAAATGAGGTCAAGTTCAGATGAACCCTACCAAAGGGATATTTATACATAAACATTCTATATACTCCTTAATCAGTTAATCAATGAACCATGAAATGATGTCAAGGTCAGTTTAATCCTGTCTGATGAACATGTAGCCTTGTTATGAATCTATATACTAAATATCAAATTACTTATGATGACTAAAAAGAATAAGCTCAGTCACTGAACCGTGAAAATGAGGTCAAGGACACATTTTAGAAGAAAAAATTACATTTTCAAATACTGTAACACACAATATTTAGAAAGAAACTAACTTCTGGTAGAAAATATTCCATCCTCCTCCTCAGCCTGCTTTCCTGTTATGATTGGCATTTCTTCCTCTGTCTGTTCACTTTCTACATCTGATTTGAGTTTGTAAGAGCCAGTTAACCAATCAACACTCTCTATATCCACCTCTCCCTCTTCTCCTCTTTCTTTCATTTCTTTCTCTATTTTCTGTTTTACTGATTCTTTCCTTATTTTGGTCAATGCTGTAAGATTTTTCAAGACAATTATACTTACTACATAAGAATTTCATTACAAATAAAATGTTAGATGATATTAGTTAAAGAAATGTTTTTGATTATATTAATTGAATTATTCTGAGTTGAAATTGAAATCCCACTTTGTACATATGATAATTATATAATAGTCATTCTACGTATTAATCACTCCCTTTTTGTCTTCTATGTGGCTAGTTTGATCTGATATTGGTCATGATACAGTTTAGGTTCCAGTGTTCACCTTTGAACCAATTTAGGATTCCTTTGTATTACGTACATGGGGGGACATATACTTGCCTCCCCATGCCGCTAAAGTTATATTTGCTTAAGAGCAACAAAAACATCTATTTCCATAGCACGTTTATTTCAAAGAGACAGATAACATCACATCAAATATGCATCATCATCATACAAAGGGACACAACTCTCACGACTTAACTACAAAACACATACGACCATACAATACATATACATGTATATAACATCCCGCCCCCAAAAAGAAAATTTCCCAAATTTTATCAAAAAGGTGTATGTGTTTTATCCATATACAATTTCAAGAAGAAGAAAAATTGCACTATAAATTCAAACTATATAATCACTTCCGTATAAGACTAAAATCAGTTTCCAAATAATCTTTGTAAATACATTTATAATAACTGAAATGTTCGTGGCTGACCAGTTCTCACATCCAGCATCCATTGGCATACACACCAGTATCAACAATGCAGAAAAATCCGAACGTCTGGCATCTCGATCTCCCCCTTAGGACCTTATGCACGCATTACGTCCATTCAACAACACAAAAAAAAAATGCATTTGATACATTTACTCAGTCTACTAAATGGAAAATACTAGAATATTGTCATAAATGTAGCTGTATACAACAAAATGATAGATAATCATCAGAGACCTTTAACCCTTAAAAAAAATGGTAAATATTACATCAATGAAACACTTCATAAGTAACATATGTCAGTAAAAGAAAATACGACTAATTCTCCCTCTCTAACATGTCCAATCTCTCATACTTCACGCTCACAAAAATAAAATAAAGATGAAACAAATGAAAAGCTCCAGAAATGTCAATATCAACCTAGGTTTTATTTATGACTATTATCCCATCGCTACTGACAATCCGCTGTCAAATCAGTCCAACTGTTAACAGAAATGTTGTGTATAAACAATACACTCATACCAGATAATTCATAGAAAAATCCTTGAGACAAAATTGAATTCATAATTAATATTCGAAATAAGTCCGTGTTTGTCCTTGTAACTGGGTAGCGTACGACGAGATAAATCTCACACGTACCGTCTGTAGTAGAATTTAAATAGTTCAAAACTGTAACACATTTTCCCTGCTAAATCCTAAATACATATATAGGTCAAGCTGATTAGTTACTAAAGATAATGCCAATTACTAAGCAACTATTTTCCAAGTACTGTAAGATGATAGGCCGGGACGTCACATGACACATGCTACAGTTTTCTGCACACATAAACATACACAGCTGTATTTCTTGATGTTAGACCAACGCCAAATTGCGGTTAAAAGTTTAATTGTTTGTGTAGAAATTTCGATCGCGTCCAACAGTCCAAATGATAATTAAAGTTCAGATGACAATAAACAATTGCGAAATACTTTTGATATTAATATGCATGTACAATGTAGTTTAAAAACAGTTCCTTAAATTTTACCGTTTTCATTTGTTGACGAAAACTCCCATGGTGACTTCTGAATATTGACTAAATCCAAATTAAAAACATCAAAATTTAACATAAAATCCAAAAATTGGTTCCAGTGTCAACTGCATGGTACTGCTATACTCCACTTAACGAAAATTCCAAGATTTCAACGTGGTCAAAATTTAATAATGGCGCCGCCAGCCTCGTGTTTTAGACTTTTAGAAAGTTGATTCTTCATCTTTGGGGACAGCTCACATAAAATACACTCAAAGGGACCGTTTTGAAGTCCTCCACCATATTACGTACATGGGGGGACATATACTTGCCTCCCCATGCCGCTAAAGTTATATTTGCTTAAGAGCAACAAAAACATCTATTTCCATAGCACGTTTATTTCAAAGAGACAGATAACATCACATCAAATATGCATCATCATCATACAAAGGGACACAACTCTCACGACTTAACTACAAAACACATACGACCATACAATACATATACATGTATATAACATTTGTGACATAAGAATTCTGTTCTTTTATAGACCAAAATATACTTTCTGATTTATTTCTGCCTTGTAAATTATTTTTGATGCCATGCATGACTATCAATCAACTTGTCATTCTACTTTTTTTTGCTCTAAAATGTTTTAAAGTAGTTTCTCATTAAGATAATGGTTTATCTCCCTTTATAGCATTTCTGTGTCAGTGAATTCCTTGCAATTCATTTCTCTTATGGCTGAATCATAGATAAAAATAAAATTCTTGTAAATTTCTTAATATGAATTAGTTTGAAAAATAGCCATTATCTTTTGCATAATTCTTGAGAGGCATTTAAATATATCTTTTGATAGTATTTCTCCTTTATGGTACTTTATAATTTATTTTCTTACCTTCAACACTGTCAGTTATCTTTTGTCTTTCTTTATTTATCCACTTTTCTCTTTCTGCCTTTTCTGCTTCAACACCACCCTCGGCCCTGAAATATAAATGTCCCAAAAATGAAAACAACATGTTATTAATTTCATGCATCCAACATGCTTTTCTGGATTTACCTTCATCAGAACACTCAAAGACAAATATCTGAAAGCCAAGGATATATAAGACCCAAAACAGTTAAGGAGCTGTATGACCAAAAAGAACCTAAAAAAATAGCCAAATCCATCTGAGGTCAACTTTGCCTGAGGGAGTTAGTTTCTTTAAAATTTATAAACAGACAATTTTAGAAAGGTTTGTTATAAATCATGTCAGTACAAAAGTACTGACTACTGAGCTGATGATACTCTCGGGGACTGATAGTCCACCAGCAGAAGGTATCAACCCAGTGCTGTAAAATGAAAACAACACGTTATTTATTTCATGCATCCAAAACAATTTTCTGGATTTATCTTCATCAAGAACGCTCAAAGCCAAATATTTGAAAGAGGAGGATGTATAAGAACCGAAACAGTTGAAGAGCTTTATGACCAAAAAGTACCTAATTTGCTAACAAACGTTTATTGTTCTGAAGTCCTTGTTGAGGTTATAATATGTATTTCAGACCCGCTTTATTTTTAAATGTAGCATTAAAATATATTTTTGGATGTAGTAGCTTTGGAATAATATAAACATATCAGTAATGAATCTCACTTAAATATACTAAATTTGCAGCATTTGAAATGCTTTTATATTGTAATGGAAAACTTGCAAACTAGGAATTCTTTTATGTTAAATATGTATAGTGCATAAAATTGCAACATGCCATTCCAAGTAATATATAAAAGTCTACAAACTCAATTCTTTAACATTTGCAAAAAAAAAATGGTATTGCAAATATGCATTAGATAACAAATTCAAAGAAATCTGTACTTATACTCTAAAGAGGGAAAATTTCCGTGAGAGATTTATTTTTGTTCATCTTGATTTAAGAAATGATCCCTAAAATATCCACTAAATTAAATTTAAAATAATTTTACATTTCATTTTTTTTATCAAAGTGTATCTTACCAAGCTTCAGCACAAGCTCTATCTTTAGGGAAAACTGGTCTGTCATCAAGGTAATTCAAATGTTTCTGTAATGTTAAATCATTGCAACAGTGAGACGTAAGAACTAAGTAACAATGTGATATTATATCATTGCTCAAGATACAAACTAATTTTTACCCCCTTATTATAATGTTTATGTCCTACATAGGATTAATTCTAAAAACCACCTTGTGCAAGGACAACAAGAGAAACTAAAAGCCTTATAACCCAGACGCATCTATTAAATTTTGTTTTATTTCTTATTCTTTCTGGTTAAAAAGACAGCTTGTGTGTTTGCTGACTAATTTAGAGATTGGGTTTTCTCTCTTCAAACAATTATGAAGTATTTAAACAAGAGGCTTTCAAGAGCCTGAATCGCTCACCTGCATTTCTGAAAAGATTTTTAAATGTTAGAAAACTTGATGAACAAATTGTGTAAAATTGTCTTTAAAGGGCAATAACTCCTTAAGGGGTCAATTGACAATTATGGTCATATAAACTTTTTTGTAGATCTTACTTTGCTGAACATTATTGCTGCTTACAGTTTATATATATCTATAATAATATTCAAAATAATAACAAAAAACTGCAAAATTTTGTTAAAACTACCAATTCGGTGGCAGCAACCCAACAATGGGTTGTTCGATTCGTCTGAAAATTTCAGAGCTGATAGATCTTGACCAACTGAACAATTTTATCCCATGTCAGATTTGCTCTAAAAGCTTTAGTTTTTGAGATATTAGCCAAAAACTGCATTTGACCCCTATGTTCTATTTTTAGCCATGGCGGCCATGTTTGTCGATGGATCAAAACTTCGGATACAATTTATAAACTAGATACCCTAAAGAACATTTAGTTAAAGTTTTAAGGTATTTGGCCCAGTAGTTTCAGAGGAGAAGATTTTTGAAATAGTTTACGACGACGACGACAGACGACGACGGACGCCAAGTGATGGCATAAGCTCACATGGGGCCCTTCGGGCCTCGGTGAGCTCAAAAATAGAGGCTCTCAAGAGCCTGTGTCGCTCACCTGATCCTACTTTGGTTTTGGAAATCATGTAAAAATAGATTAAAATCATAACAGATACCCTAATAATGAGTGAGGCCAAATTTGGTTTAATATTGGTCCTGTAATTTAATAAAAAATCCTGGTGGCCATCTTGAACAGTAAATCGGCAACAAAGTAGCAACACTTCATCAGCACCTCATAAGCATTTATGCCATGTTTTGGTTTCATTCCATTCAGTGCACCTCTAGAAGAAGCATTTGTATGTATTTCCCATAAGGTCTTATGTTAAAGGAAGTCCCCCCATTGGCGGCCATCATGGATGAAGGATCAGCTTCAAAGTAACAAAACTTAGTCAGCACCTCATAAGGGACATTCATGCCATGTTTGGTTTCATTCCATTCAGTATGTGGTTCTCTAAAAGAAGACATTTGTATGTATTGTCGATAGGGTCCTTTGTTAAACATTGTCCCCATCTGGCGGCCATCGTGGATGAAGGATCAGCTTCAAAGTAACAACACTTGGTCAGCACCTGAAAAGGAACATGCATGTCATGTTTGGTTTCATTCCATTCAATGGTTCTCTAAAAGAAAACATTTGTATGTATTTCTCATAGGGTCCTATGTTAAACAAGTCCTCCGCTGGCAGCCATCTTAGATTATGGATCGGCTTCATAGTAACAACACATGGTCAGCACCTCATAAGGAACATTCATGCCATGTTTGGTTTCATTCCATTCAGTGGTTCTCTAAAAGAAGACATTTGTATGTATTTCCCATAGGGTCCTATGTTAAACTAAGTCCCCTGCTGGTGGCCATCTTGAATGATGGATCAGCTTCAAATTAACAACACTTGTCAGCACCTCATAAGGGACATTCATGTCATGTTTGGTTTCATTCCATTCAGTGGTTCTCTAAAAGAAGACTTTTGTATGTATTTCCCATAGGGTCCTATGTTAAACTAAGTCCTTGGCTGGCAGCCATCTTGGATTATGGATTGGCTTCATAGTAACAACACTTGGTCAGCACCTCATAAAGAACATTCATGCCATGTTTGGTTTCATTCCATTCAGTGGTTCTCTAAAAGAAGACGTTTGTATGTATTTCCTATAGGGTCCCATGTTAAACTAAGTCCCCTGCTGGCGGCCATCTTGGATTATGGTTCGGCTTCAAAGAAACAAAACTCGGTCAGCACCTCATAAGAAACATTCGTGCCATGTTTGGTTTCATTCCATTCAGTGGTTCTCTAAGAGAGGCATTTGTATGTATTTCCCATAGGGTCAAATGTTAAACTAAGTCCCCTGCTGGCGGCCATCTTGGATTATGGATCGGCTTCAAAGTAACAACACTTGGTCAGCACCTCATAAGGAACATTCATACCATGTTTGATTTCATTCCATTCAGTGGTTCTCTAAAAGAAGACATTTGTATGTATTTCCCATAGGGTCCTATGTTAAACTAAGTCCCCTGCTGGCGGCCATCTTGAATGATGGATCAGCTTCAAAGTAACAACACTTGGTCAGCACCTCATAAGGAACCTTCATGCCATGTTTGGTTTAATTCCATTCAGTGGTTCTCTAAAAGAAGACATTTGTATGTATTTCCCATAGGGTCCTATGTTAAACTAAGTCCCCTGCTGGCGGCCATCTTGGATGATGGATCCGCTACAAAGTAACAACACTTGGTCAGCACCTCATAAGGAACATTCATGCCATGTTTGGTTTCATTCCATTCAGTGGTTCTCCAGAAGAAGTTCAAAATGTAAAAAGTTAACGACGACGACGGACAACGACAGACGATGACGGACGACAGACGCCAAGTGATGAGAAAAACTCACATGGCCCTTCGGGCCAGGTGAGCTAAAAAAGGTGGGTTGCTGTCTTATTGACAATAACCTACATCTCAATTTATTCATACAATTTCAAGGCAAAGTGTTTGTGGTAAATCAATATGCTTTGACAAGTGACTGACATTTATTAACTCTGTCAAGGCAAAGTGTTTGTGGTAAATCAATATGCTTTGACAAGTGACTGAAATTTATTAACTCTGTCAAAGCAAAGTGTTTGTGGTACTCTGTCAAGGCAAAGTGTTTGTGGTAAATCAATATGCTTTGACAAGTGACTGACATTTATTAACTCTGTCAAGGCAAAGTGTTTGTGGTAAATCAATATGCTTTGACAAGTGACTGACATTTATTAACTCTGTCATGGAAAGATAGATTGAATACAAGCAACAACACTCAATTTTTGCAAACAATTGGAACAAGGCTTGAACCCCAAACTCAGTGGTGTTAGGCTGAAGTGAAATATTCCAGTAAAAGTCAAATGGTGTTCATCCAAACTCCTTAAAATCATACATGTAACTTGCTATATAAAGATAAGGAGATGTGGTATGATTGCAAATGAGACAACTAAAGAACTATCCACCAACGTTCAAATGAAGTGGATGTAAGCAATGTATATCAACACACAATTGTATGATTAGATGGATGTAAGCAATGTATATTAACACACAATTGTATGATTAGATACTTACACATTTAACAATGAAATTCTTCCTGTAATTCTTTATATTCCTAATAACAGTATTTCCCATTAAATTTAATACTTTCTGAAAAATAAAAACAGTATTTCCCATTAAATTTAATACTTTCTGAAAAATAGAAAAAAGAAAAAAATATTTAATCAGAATAACAGTCAGATAATACAGTTAAAACCTAAAAGCAAAATTAAAATTAATAAATACTAAGCAATGACTTGTGTTTCAAGTCTTTCTGTTTTGTTAAAAGTGAACATATTTGTGCTGTAAAATATGTACTTATTTTTATTTTTACTGCTGTTTACACCGTTAATTATTTGTTCCTTTAGTTTAATCTGACAACTGATAGTACCTTTATATAGTCACATACAAAATTTACTGTGCCATTGACAATAAAATACAAAATGTTAATTTCGGCAATACTTTTTTCATAGCAAACTAAAAGTTTGACAGACAAGAGGATTACAAAGTACCTGGTAGACCTAACCCTTGTTTTATATCTTACCAGATTTTTCATAGCAGCAAAGACTTCTAGAACTTTGGGATCACTTAATTTGTTATGTGACAAATCCACTACACTCAGTGAATCACATTCTGCTAAGTGTTCAATATCCTCAACATCTTCAATTCTGTTATGTGAGATATACAGAGAATTTATCTTGGGTAAACAGGCTGAAAAAGTAAATTGGTTTATAGTTATTGTACAATAAATATTTGAGTATTACTCTTAGTAACTGAGAAACTAAACAAAGCACAGTCATAATACCTTACAATGATTCTGACCAAATAAGTTTGTTCAAAGTTACTGAGATATTGAATTAAACAAAATCCCTAATACTGACTTAATTAGGTTATTGAACAGTGGAAATGAAATTAAGAAAAAATAACACATGTTAGACCATGAACCAACAATATATAAAATATAGATTGTCTTGCTCTTTTAACTTCTGAAATATTACTGCTGTCAATGGATTTGCATATATTTTTTGCTTTTAGGGATATCATCATGGACAAGACAAAGACAAAATTTGTAACAATAATATTACACCATTTTAATTTGAATTCATAATAATATTTCAAAAACTTACATAAATTTTCAATTTTCTTGACTCTATTGTTGCTAAGATTCAGTGTATCTAACCAAACAAGAGGCTCCAGATTCTCTATTTCTGAGATCAAGTTTTGTTGAAGATACAGACATCTCAGTTCTTTTTGATTTTCTAGGTTTTCTATTTTTCTCAATCCATTACATTCCAACCATAAACATCTCAATCCAGTGTACTCTTCTAGTGCTTCAATCTTGAAAATACCTACAATGATATTTAAAACCATGGATTAATAAAATAACACAAACAAGATCAAGTTCCACTTAAAGATTTAGAAGGCTAGATTTGCTATAAAGTTGTATCGGAAAGGGAACTTGAATCAGTAATTGACAATTTCTATCATAAGTTGGTGTACTTAACAAGTAAATGTTGCAAATAAATAGAAACATGAAACCTTTCTTTGGTGATGACAGACTCTATCTGTGACTACTTGAACTCTTTCTGTATTGGTGACGGGCTCAAGGAATACTTTGCCCCTGTTTGTAATGGTGACAAGCTCAAAGAATAATTGAACCATATCTTTTATATTGATAGCTATATTCTCAAGGAAAACCTGAACTCTTCCTGAAGTAGTGATGGGCTCAAGGAATACTTGAATTCTAACTGTAATGGTAACAGGCTCTAGGAATTCAGGGGATGCCATGGGTCCAAAATAGTTGGAGCCAGAAAAATTCCAGCTTCAAAAACTTGGAACCATGTTAAAAGTCAGCTTGCGTATTGAATTCCACTACCCAAATTTAAACGGTGATTATCTGAAATTTCTTATGCACTGTACATTATTTAAATTCATGTAATGTATTGCCCTATCATTTTATGTTTTTTCTTCTTTTCATGCTTTTCTGTTGAAGAAAAAACTAACAGGTTCACTGACACAGTTGTCTGAAGTTGAGGAACTAAAGCCAAATGTGAATAACTTTGTTCACTTTGCATGAGATGAAGTTTGAAAATTTATTTTTCGTTTCCCTCTTTATAAAGTTTGAGGAGTAATCATTCTTTCTTGACTGCAATATAGTTGATTTTAATTATTTACAAAGCTGATGTGGCAAACAAAATCATACAATTAAGCAGCGTATGCTTACATGTATATCAGAAATCTGAAATTAGAAGTCAAGCAAGATCAGAAGAAAAGGAAACCCCCCCTCAAAAATATAAAGAGCTGTGACCAATAGCAATATTGCTTGAGAGCATTTTTATAGTTTTAATAAGAAAAGTGTAGCCTTTTCATTGACCTCAGTAGTTTCTGTATATGCAAAGTAAAAAAGGGGCCCTTAACAGGTTTTAGTTTGACGAGTGTGTTGTACATGAGCATCATTAACAAAAATAAAATGTTTACTGAATAAAAGTCTTGTAATTTTGATCTCCAGTCATGTCAAAAATAATTGTTTTAAAATACATCCAAAAGTAATCTATGTACAATGTTTGAATTCTAATCCATAACGGACACCTTGTGAGAGTGAGTGGTCTTGTGTTTACAACAATTACCTGTTTGACATAATTATGACCTCAAAGCTTAACCCTTTTCTGTATTAATGTGTATTGGTGACAAGCTCTAGGAATACTAGACTGGGAATATACATGCCCCTACTATTGTAGGTGGGGGGTGGGGGGGATCTCATTTTTTAAACTGAGCAGACCTCTTAATGACAAATTACTTACCTTTATAATGTAGATATAGAACATCATTTAGATGTGGGGTACGATAAAGCTTCATATCTGTACAATGCTGCTTTAGAAATGCCTTTGTCAATCTGTATAAAATACAAAATAGATTAAGGTGGAAGTAAGGATAGTAAGCTTGGCAAACATTTTAAATATCCCAATATAATGTCAAAGCAATATATGATATATATTAGATGGACACATACTTGTCATTTATAATGCACATAGCAAAGATGAATCTGTCATGTACAGATACATAGGAACAAAACTCATATAAAAACTTAACTTGACCACCATGATCAAAGCTTTGTAGAACATTAAGTGAAAGATTCGATATGACAAAAGATTATTAAAACTTTTTAACAGTTCCAAAAAATTGTCACCCAAATATAAATGTTTATCTCACAATGCTGGACTTAAGGAAAGATTAAAATAACAATAGAATAACAGTTTTCCAATATCCTTTGCTGCATGGTGTAATTAATGGTCAAATAAAATGCATAAAATGTAAATTGATGAATACAGAAAGAAATACAATACGTAACGGGGGCAGATCCAGGATTTTTGAAGGAAACAGAATGTCTTTTTTTTGGATGATTGATGCTAGAAAATCATGTAAAATGTGAGAAACATGAGAATTTTTCTATGGCAATCAAATGGGTAGGCATATGACCTCTACTCCAATGGATCAGCCACTGCATTGTTTGTCCTTTCTTATAATCTTCAGTAAATCTATCTATAAGACCACTGACAGTTATTTCTAATATCAGCAATAGGTAGTCAATAACTGTCTGATAATATTCTATTTTTCATCATCTGAGCACTTACATTATTTGCTATAAATATTTTAGGGCCAATCTATTTTATATGATTGAACATTCCGACTTTAGTAAATACAATGTACATTTCTATCATTTTCAATATAACTATTTTTTTAAATTATATTTACCTTGGCCAGTTATCTTTGTCTTTTTTCTCTATCTGATTCGGTTTTTCATTTTTGTTAGGTTCTGTTTTATCACTTGATCCATTAGACTTGGAATTTTCTGGAAAAAAAAAACCCTTTGTACTATTCTGTCTTTTTCAAAAATATTTTTACTGTATATATACATTAAAGTACCAATATCATTGTCAAAATTGTTTCTGCGCACGCACGCCTTTGTGATATATATATATATCCATTTATGCACTGACAAGACATTAAGCCACTTTAGATTAAGCACATTTTATGGACTTTCATCTGTCAAAATGCCAACTTTTCAACTTTTCAAAATAATGAAATAATAATGTAATACATTGTAGTTACATTGATGTATTTAAATTATTAGGAAAAATAATGTTCACCAAATTGTTCTGCAAAATTAATAACTGAATTATGAAGAAAAAAATTACAATCGTATTTATCAAATATTGTAATGCAAAATGCAAATCCAAAGGGTTCAGGGTTTTCACAATATGATTCTACAACATAGTAAATGTAGTTGGGAAATTTATTGCATTTAACCATGAATATGAGCTAAGTCAAATAAAGCATTTGTAAACATTTCAAAAGCAATCTTGTCCATTGAACCAAATTTCTACATTGAAATCAACTGATGTCATTTTATTTTTATTCTTCATCATTAGGTTGATTTCTCATTGATGGGTACATTCATATTTTAGATAAACTCATTACGTCAGAAAGAAGTGTCTAAATGCTCTTGTAGAATAAAAAGAAACAGGGAGACAAACAATAAATGGCTCAATGAGATCATTACTTTGTAATAGATCTACATAGTACATGTATCTATATCAATCTACATGTAATTACTGACATACTGTACATATAGTACTGATATTGTTAGAATTCACTTCCTTCATATATTTTATAATGGCTTTTTTTACCCAGATCAGAAATATTTAATCTTTATTCAGAAAATTTAAGTTTCCTCTAATACAAATTTAAGCCATTATGATGCTGTTTGAAAATTTCCACCTATGTCAAGAAACCATATACATGATATTTATGGAGAGAACAGAAATTTTTCTGGTTTGCTAATTAATTTTTACATTTTATCTCAAGAACTAAGCAAAGAAATCTATTGCCAACGTTATTAAGTAACTGTGCAAGGCCTTCAAAAATTGCTTCCTGTAGGCTTGTAAATGAGCAGTATTTTGAAAATAACAGACAATTGAGAGTTTCATTGTCCATGAAATTATACTTTTATCAATACTGAATAGTGAAGACAACTATTAATGACACACAGTTATCACTCTATAAGGGCAATGTAGTCAAGAGAAATTCAAGAGTAGAAGAAAATAAGACTTATATAAGTAAAAAATATCTGAATGTCCAAGGGATATAACTGGACCTCCAAAATAATTTACCTGTACCAGTAAATTAATAAATGGGGAATTTGTCCATGGGACACAGATGATGCCCCCGCTTGAATATAATGTTATAAAGAGACATAACTTAAGAACGGTAAAAGTGACGCTACCCAAATTTGTACTTGATCTGAGTTTTGTTGTAATAAGCATTGTGTATAATTTTCATAACATTTGGTTGAGGCAAACTTAAGTTAGAAAACAATTACATGCTTCGCTGAGCACAGCCTGATACGACCGCAGAGGTCAAACCCTGAATAGTTGGTACAAATTTGGACACAATATTCAAGCTTGATACTGTCTGAATTTGGATTGTGATCAAATTTTTGACATAATATAGATTTCTGACACAAAATAAATGTGGTCAAAGATCTTACAAATCTATTGCGCAATACTGTGCAACTGAAGATTTCTTCTTGAAACTTTTCAAAAATTCTAAATTTGAAAAATTTTGAAAAACAAATATGAATCCTCTAAAAAGATTGGAAAAAAAATCCCTCCCAACTTCTTGAAACCCACCTTTGAGCAATAACCCCAAAACTTGATCCCAGCCTTTCCTTTGTAGTATGGAACCTTGTATTACAATTTCAGAGAGATCCATACACTTAAACACAAGTTATTGTCTGGAAACTAGAAAAATGCTTGTTTTTGGTCCTTTTTTTGCCCCTAATTCCTACATATTTGGGCAATTAACCCCAAACTCAATCCTAGCCTTCCCTTTGTGATATAAAACCTTGTGGTAGAATGTCAGAGAGATCCATAAACTTACACACAAGTTATTGTCAGGAAACTAGAAAAATGCTTGTTTTTGGCCCCTTTTTGGCCCTTAATTCCTAAACTGTTGGCCCCATAACCCCTAAAATAAATCCCAACCTTCTACTTGTGGTATTAAACATTGTCGTACAATTTCAGAGCAATTGAAATACTTATACACAAGTTATCCTGAAACTAGAAAAATGCTTGTTTTGGGCCCCTAATCCCTAAACCGTTGGGACCATCATCCCCAAAATCAATCCCAACCTTCCTTTTGTGGTATTGAACCTTCTTAAAAAATTTCATAGAGATCCATTCACTTAGACTAAAGTTATTGTCCGGAAACCAATGTGTCTTCGGACGACGACGCAATCATACCATTATACGATCCCAAACATTTTTTTGCGGTCGTATAAAAAAATGAAAAATTCAGCAATTTTTCCATTTGTAAAGGGGCATAACTCAATAACAGTAAAAGTGACCCTACCCAAATTCAAACCTGATCTGTGTTTTGTGGTAATAAGCATTGTGTTTAAGTTTCATAACATTTGGTTGAAGCAAACTAAAGTTAGAAAAAAACGAAAATTTCAGCAATTTTTCTATTTGTAAAAGGGCATAACTCTGGAACAGTAAAAGTGACGCCACCAAAATTCAAACTTGATCTGTGTTATGTGGTAATAAGCATTGTGTATAAGTTTAATAACATTTGGTTGAGACAAACTAAAGTTAGAGAACAGAAACCAATTTTGGGACGGATGTACGGACGGACGTACAGACGAACAAGGGTAAAACTTAATGCCCCCTCCGCCACGGTGGGGGCATAAAAACGCTTGTACAAGTATTACCCCTGACTGTAGTACTTACCTTTGGTATTGTTAACATTTATGTTGTTTTCTTTATCCTCCATGACCTCTATTTTGACCTTTACTGCCTTTTCTTTCTGAGGTATTTCAACATTATCCTCAATTATTTCTTCTATCAGAGGCATTGTATTTTTTTTTCTGAAACAAAATTCAGTCAGTATAAATACTACTTCCTGATCCAGGATTTTTTATGGATTAAATACTAAATAGTTTGATGAATACACAATAATGAAGAAATATAAATTAGTAAATGCCAAAGTTAATTTTTGTGTGGAAAAATGCTAGGTTTTATCACTTGCATACATCATGTACATGTACATAGATCTTTATAATATAAGTAGTAATGTTTTAAGCAGGTAAACTTCAAGAAAATGTTGTCATGAGTGTGTATTAAATATTTTCCACTTGACATATGATTATCCAGCAAATAGCAGTCATCAAGAAATAAGTCTTTATATTATGGATTGTCTCATTTGACAAAGTAGTTATTACTGATATGCAGATTCTTAAAAAGCCTTGAAAATTGTAGCTAGGAAATCTTTAGAACCTGCAGTCACAGCAATATAATACATCTTTGATCACACAATCAAACGGTTGAAACCAATAGCATATATGACTGTGAAATATGGGAGCACAATATAACCATAAAGATTTATATGTAGTATGAGACTTTTCAGCCATAAATCAGTTAGGCCATACACCAGTTCGGCCTTGGTTGTTTCGGTCCATTGTTTTTTTAATGTCAGTGTCTATCAATGTTTTGAATAAAAAAATAAGAGGTAAGTAAATATTTCTTTATACATGTATATGATAAGAATTTCTTAATAAAATACATGTAAGTATGATGCAGTGTATGGAAAATGTCACAGTCAGCAGACCCAGGTAAAGATGAAAATTATCTTATCTTTATCTATCAGTAGGTATGGTGAAGTCTCGATTGAGGCAGATCAAATATATAGCCCAATATCTATTATATATGTATGCCAAATGATCAATAAAATATTGATTTGAATAAAAAAAGAAAATGAAAGTATTTTTTGCTACAAGATATTATAATAATGTTGTAGTGGATTAAATAATAATTAACACAACAGAAAATCAGTTCCACTACAGATACATTTGTGTTTAATGCATATTCATTTGGAAAGCAGGACAAATCGCCCCACTGGCAAATCGCCCCACTTTTTCACCAACTCGCCCCACTTTAAAAAAAATCGCCCCAAACTGGTTTACCAACTCGCCCCACTTGTGAAAAGAGTTGAATCCCGTTAATTTTTCCCCTGCCAACTCTCCCCACTTAATGAAAAAAGGTAAAATCTAGATGAATATATAATTTTCAGGTCTGCCAACTCGCCCCACTTAAAAACGAAAATTTATTAATTTTTTTTTATTGACTATGAGGTGGCATAACTCAATTCATCAGGACTTTTCTATTTTTCATAAGTGGGGCGAGTTGGCAAGACTCAATTCATCAGAACAGTGGCGGATCCAGAACTTTTTATAAGGGGGGCCCGCTGACTGACCTAAAAGAGGGGGGGGGCTCCTGTCATGCTTCAGTGATTCCCTACATGATCAATCAAATTTTCCCACAAAAGGGGGGGGGGGAAGGCAGGCCCCCCAGCCCCCCTGGATCCGTCTATGCAGGATTTTTCTTTTTCTATTTTTCACAAGTGGGGCTAGTTGGCATTCATGTCACAGAAATACTGATACTCACATCTTTATGCTTAATTTCAACAAAAAGAAAAGAACTACAAAAAAGATATAAGAAGATGTGGTATGTAATTCAGTGGCTGTCGTTTGTTTATGTGTTACATATTTGTTTTTCCTTCATTTTTTTATATAACCAGTATACTTCACTTAGAATTACATTTGAGCGCAAGAAAATCTCTATGTGAATCGGCTGAAGGTTACCTCGGCTGAATCCCGGGGTCGAAGTTCAACATATCAACGGAAATTTTTGCGTGTGCTTGCGTTGCTTTAGATCGAGGCCACAGCTTTTAAACCAATCGGGGAATGTTTACTTGGGGCATACATCTATTTTTACTGCAGGTTTCGACATTTTTAAATCGGGATTATAGAAATATGGAATGTTGTTGGTAGATACAAAACAGAAAATGATGAACACTTATAGCAAAAGATAAATTGGATCGGGTGTCTGTGAATTCACATTATTAGTACAACTCTCCTTACTCTTGGGAAGCGTGTGCTTTACATCGAGGCTTGCGTTGCTTTACATCGACGCCATAGTAGTTCAACCAATCGGGGAATGTTTATTTGGGGCATACATCTATTTTTACTGCAGGTTTTGGCATATTTTAATCGAAATTAGAGAAAAATGGAATGATGTTAGGAAATATAAAACAGAAAATGATAAATATTTTTAGCAAAAGATGAATTGGATCGGGGTTCTGTGTATTCACATTATTTGTACAACTCTCCTTACTGATGGCAAAAAATGGAATTTCCGTGACCTAAATGGTTCGAGAAAATTAATATTTTTATATACATATAGTAATTAAGGCCGTTGGTTTTCTCGTTTCAATTGTTTTACATTGTCATTTCGGGGCCTTTTATAGCTGACTATGCGGTATGGGCTTTGCTCATTGTTGAAGGCCGTACAGTGACCTATAGTTGTTAATTTCTGTGTCATTTTGGTCTCTTGTTGAGAGTTGTCTCATTGGCAATCATACCACATCTTCTTTTTTATATGAGTGCCAATGAGACAACTCTCCATCCAAGTCACAATTTGTAAAAGAAAAAACATTATAGGTCAAAGTACGGTCTTCAACACAGAGCCTTGGACGACACCAAACAGGCACAAAGATATATAACGGGATTGCATCTTTTTCATAAGTGGGGTGAGTTGGTAAACAAAAGTGGGGTGATTTTTTAGAAAGTGGGGCGATTAGGTGTGGGGCTATTTGCCAGTGGGGCGATTTGTCATGGATTCTTAATTTGTATACTTAAATAAGTGTCTTAGTGATTGACAAAAATGCCCCTCAGTGGACACATGGAAATAGCTATAGGTACAAACATTCTGACAAAGGGGAATATCAAAGGAATCAGTCAAATATGATTTTAGCATTTTTTATAACAGTGAATGTATGCATAAGCTTTTGCTCAGCTTGGGACTTCAGCACTCTTTAAGACCATTATTCTTTTTTGAAACATGACCAATTACAGATTCAAAGTTAAACATTGTGTACTTACATGTATCACAGCAATTATGAAAAATGATGCTATGTGTTATCTGCAATCAACCTTAATTGACCTTTCAAATACAACTTAATATATATTACATTAACGTGTTCTTTAAATATGATATATAAGTATAGCTGAAACGACTTTATTACATGGCCCAAGTGGTACATGGCTAAAACGAACAAGACTGAACTGGTTCCATAGCTGAAAGGTCTTGTTTCCAAATAGAGACTGAGAATTTGGATATATTCAAGTTTTGTAAATTCCTCCTAGGAGTAAATGAGTGTTCAAATATTAGAGAGTTTTCATAACTGTATTCCATCAGTATCCACCATTTCTATCGTCATTTTTTCAAATGGTATAAATCTAGTAAATTGGCAAAGTAGATGAAATATGCTTTCTCATAGAATTTCCAAGGGAGGTCTATTCCACCTATTTCACGATTATAGCCACCCATTTAATATCAAATGAGGATTGTTTGAAGAAGGTCTTTGATTCATCAATCCCCTTAAGATTCAAAACATTTTCCCTTGTTGTTTTAGAGGTAATTATTCAAATTGACCGAATCAGAATAAAAGATTGCCCATGAAGACAATGTCCTTCAGCCAATCTGAACCAAATGATGATCATTTGTAAGGGAACTCAATACATGTACAATATTTCTCGCAAGTTTGGTAAATATTTGCATGATTTTATCATCAAGTGGAGGACACTAAAAATCAGTCACAACTGAACTGGTACAGACTACAGGTAACATACAAAATTATTGGCAAGTTTTAGCTTTTGAGATTTACACTTAAGAAGTATATGATATTGCTATTTCATATCAACTCCTCTGATATTCTATATTCATTGCCATACGTTCTAGAACAATCCACAACATAATTTCTGATACCGGCTTCAGCAGTTTAGACAGAGTCAGAACATTAAATAAAACCCAGATAAAATAGATAGTTATCGAGACTGACCACATATTTCGTGAAATAAATCTTTGAGGAAATAAACCTTCATTTACAACATTGCTACTTACAAGAATCTTTTAGATTTTGGAGTCTTTGTCAGAACTTGAAAATCACGCGTCGATGTAAACAATAATGGCGGCGTAGTAACAACAGAAAAGGGAGATAATTTTCCGTGCACCTGCTGGTTAAGCTAATTACCAGATAATAATTATAAAGGATATATCACAACAAGGGACTGTAATAACCACACGCAACATTTATTTTTAACTTGCAATATATATATATAACCTCATATCATTCGGTTAAATGCCAAAAACGTCAATATGAATGGATTTTTTCTTAGAAATATTGATAAGCACGTGTTTGCAGTGATGTCATTTCTTAACAAGTTCTATCTTTAAAAAGATATCGGATGCATTCAGATTTGACCATCATTTGTATGACCTTTTGATCATATTTAATTGCTCTTAATTTGACGGTTAAAGCCTGACAATTCTGAAAATTGAACACATGGACTGTCGAGTTAACCTATTCACTGAGATTTGAGATAAATAAAATATTATTGTGGTCTCATGAGTGCCTCATGATAGTGAAAAATGTTTAACACATAAAAACTTAAAATAAACGGGGATTCGAACAGGGAAAATGTCAATCATAACTATAAAATGATAAATTTAACAACAAGAGACGCAAACCCGTCTAAAAACCGTCTAGGATATGTTACTATAACCTGTTTTTTTTATTAAGAAGCTCACATGGTCTCAGTCAGTAGATCCGCTCTCTGGTAACACATTTATCTCGCCCATATAGCAGAGATAAATAGCAATCAGCTTCTCGGTTACAATTTCCATCGAGCCTAAGACGTTTGGGATTAAACGGGATCATAGTTTACCAGTGAAATGTTCCGCTATTTCCCTTTGACGATTGCGATAAGGTGTGTCTTTTCGCTTTAAAGTAATGTAGCTATCATACGAAATTTGTTTATTTTATCGTTTTGTAACTTATACTCTTAACTTATAATTTTACTAGGGAGTTCGCAGACGTAGCTGTCGGATTTTTTTTTTATCATCTTCATTCAAAAGGGAAAAAAAATAAGAGTTACTATGATCCACGGTAAAAATGCAGTATAACTATCACTGTTTGAGAAAAGCAGACTTATAAAGTTGTGAAATATTGAATGAGACATCAAAATACATATAAAGATACACGCATTTCATGAACAACGAACTAGTCTTTACATGACTTTCATGTCGATCCTGTCCCAAGTCGATCCGTCCCAAGTCGTTCCGTCCCAAGTCGATCCGTCCCAAGTCGAACCGGCCCCAATATAAAAAATATTTATAAGGAATAAAAATAAAGATATATATGAATTCAGTGTAATTCATAAATATTTATGAATTTTGATATAATAATATAAAAGATCATAAAGGTGGACGGTAAAAAAGTTGGTCTTTCACGAATCTTTAAATATTAAATTTTCATAAGATGAGACATTTCTTTGAATATTTTTTATTTAAATTGAAAAATTATATTAAGATTTCACATTCGGAATAAAATATTATTTTTATATAAAATATTTGAATTCAAATCAAATTAATACCTTAAATGAATACGGATGATTATGCAGTATAAAACAATTATGTTGATTATGTTTTATATTACAAGTTTTCAAGACTATTGGGTATGCATAATTATAATAAAAACATATATAACGAATACGAATACGAATACTTTATTTCTCATAAAACTACAATTACATAGTTATAGAGAACATACATAAATATAACTATAAAATACAATTTTTGCATGCATGTGCGAACAATACAATAAAATTAACTTGGAGGACTGACTTTCACATTCATAACTTTAATAAATTTACATAGTTTTTCTAATATTACAATATTTGATGAATTAAACAGTTGATCAAATTTATAGATATTAGGGTTTGACAAACAGTATTTCGGTAAAAATTTCTTTATTTCCAAATTAAATGTTCCACAATTCATAATGTAATGATACTCGTCACCAATGTCGTTTGAGTCACAGAGACGGCAGATTCTGTCTTCTTTCGGTATACCCTGCCACCTTCCAGACTCAATCGGCAAGTGGTGACTTCCATATTTATATTTGCAAAATGTATGCATAAATTTGTAAGGCAAAGAAGAAAAATATTTTTCAAATTGAAAATTCTTTTTAAAAACACGATAACATATAGTTTTAGGCGAGTCTGCAACAAAAGCAAAGCATTCTTGTTGGAACTGGTCTTTGAGTTTTTGCTCAATACATTTTGTCACCCATTTATCAACAAACTGTGCATTCCATATATTGGACATACCACAATTATCAAAAATATTTTTAACATATGATATCCACTTAGTTCCTATTCAGTTATCATTATAATATAAAAATACCAGTTTGTATAATATAACAAAAATTTTACTTTCTTTTCCATTAAGAAGTCTACTCCAGAAATTAACCATTCACAATTTTACAGACACGGTAATGGGGTATCTGCCAAGCTCTGCATACACAATGAAATTTGGAGTAGACTGTTTTAAATGTAAAATCATTTTACAAAATTGTAAATGTACACGTTCAAGTATATCTATATTTTCAAAACCCCATATTTCTGATCCATATAACAGTATTGGTAAAACCATTTTGTCAAATAAATCAAGTTGACATCCTATTGACAAATTGTTTTGTCTACCTTTTTTGAAAACACTATACATAGCTTTTGTGGCTTGCTCTTTTAAATATTTTTTATTTGATAAAAAGGATCCACTTCTAGAAAATAAAATACCTAAATATTTGTATTTGTAACAGAATTTAGTACCATCGACATTAATCAGCAGTAATTAGCATTTTTCAATTGACTGTGATATTAACAAGTATTTCAACGGGTGTAATAACAAATAGTTAAATACACAACCCCAAGCTGATGTAGACAAACTTTGTTTTTGTTTAAGGTTATAAAAACTTCTCAAATTTTGTTTGGTTGCCGAATCCTTTCTATAAAAGAGGAGACGAAATGGGGTTTTTCTTTTAATATCACAATTCGACGGTACAAAAAAAAAAGAACACAGAGAAGAAAGTGGTTAAAAGAAATAAAAGTACATTTCTTCTTCATGTTATCTAAAAAAAAAATATAACAATTAATTATTAGAACTTCAAATAAAAGACCTTGTTGCTTAAGTAAATTTTATCAATCATGATTTTGATTGAATTAAGTGATTACGACTGGCGTTAATTATAGACTAATGGTTTGAATTAAACAAGTCATTATGATGATTACATTATTATATGTTCCATTGGATTTTTCTCTTCTATGTGTGAATTAAATAAAAACTTTTTCCCCCATGATATTCCAAGTTATCATGGAAAATAACTTCATATTTATATGCTGATGCAGCTTTACAAACAGTACCAATCATACTTATTTTCATACCGATTTAAAATTATTCATTGTTTTATTTTGGGTCGGATCTACTTGGGGCCGGATCGACGTGGGCCGGATCGACTTTGGACGGATCGACTTTGGACCGGATCGACTTGGGGCCGGATCAGTTTGGGGCCGGAACGACCTGATACCTTTACATGTAAGTATAATGTCATAATTTACTGATTCACATTTAATGTCGGCCTGTCATGAATTGTCAGTTTTCAAGGTGATTTTGTCAGGGTTGTCAAAATGTTTCTTTCAAGGCTTATTCAATTAATCTGGTCTAATTGATATTCTAAATACAAAAGTAAAAGGAATTAAAAACAATTTGATATACCATGTACGCATATGGAAAATTTATATTTCTTATTCAGTGTTGGTCGAAACCAGATATTGGAAATCCAAAAGTATCAAACACTGAAGATATAAAACACAAAATAAAGCAAAATGGACACAAAAGGAATATGACATAACACATTTATACAAAAAATAAAGTGATTTGATTATTGCATGCTGTATGTAAAACAAGAGAAAAGCCACATACACTTTATTTTGAGTATTTATAGTTACAAGGATCATATAAGGGTTGATTAACGATTTAACAAGAGAAAAGCCACATACACTTTATCCTGACTTTTTATAGTTACTTGGATCATATAAGGGTTGATTAACGATTTAACAAGAGAAAAGCCACATACACTTTATTCTGAGTTTTTATAGTTACTTGGATCATATAAGTGTTGATTAACGATTTAACAAGAGAAAAGCCACATACACTTTATTCTGAGTTTTTAAAGTTACATGGATCATATAAGGGTTGATTAACGATTTAGATATTTGGTATCGACTAAGAAAGAGAGAAGCAAATTCTGCAAAAATATCTGTTACAGCTAGTCTTTGGTTATTAAAATATACTCACTGGCACATTTGCTGTCTTTAAACAGAAAAGTTCTTTTTTTGGCTTGTGTATTGTCGCACATTATTATACGTATCTTGATAATACAGCATAACTTTGTTACAGTTATAAATGTCACGAAGATAGAAAATTATAAATATGAATTATTAAAGCATGTTAAAGTTTCACAAGGCGTACAGATGAAGTTGCCATAACTCAGTCAAGAGTAGCCTATAGTAGGCAAGCAGGCATGGTTGATAATTATGTAGCGATTTCATTGCTCATGACACACCTTTTCTGAAATAAATTTCAATAGATACACCCAAAACAGCAAAGTTTGAAACAAAAATACGAAACCATTCAAGAGCATAACCACTTAAAAGGATCTAAACCAATCTGCAAAGTCTTGTTAAAATTAAAAGGAGAGCAGGCAATGGCACGATAAAGAATTAAAAAAAAAATAATAGTAAAATGAATACACTATAAACAACGATACTTATCCCATCGAACTTGAAATAAAGGATACAACAGATACAAAGAAATCTGTCTCATATCTTGACTTACATCTAGAAATTGACAATGAGGGTCGGTTAGAACTAAACTTTACGACAGAAGAGATGATATCAGCTTTCCAATTGTGAACTTTCCATTTCTATGTAGCAACACTCAAACAGCGCCTGCATGTGGAGTATATATCTCCAAGTTGATATTATATTCAAGAGCTTGCATTTCCTATTATGAATTCCTTTATAGAGTGACGCTGCTTACAAGGAAGATATTGAACCAAGAGTTCCAAGTGGTGAAG